GATGGGCCACGTGTATGGTCTCTTAAAGTAATACTCATTTACATATCAATGACTTTTCAAAGGCTCATTTTACTTCAAACCATTCTTGAGTGCTGAACCACTCAAGCTGACATAGATCTGCTAAAGACGGACACTTTTTTTAAAAAAAAGATTTCTTTATTTTTATTGTATGTGTATAGGTATTCTGCCAGCATGTATGTCAGTGTGCCATATGTGTGCTTGGTATCCTTGGAGGTCAGAAGAGGGTGTCAGCTCCTCAGGAACTAGAGCTATGGATGGTTATTAGCCCAGTCAGGTGGGTGCTGGAACTGAACCTGGATCCTCTGCAAGAGCAGTTAGCACTCTTAACCCCTGAGGTACCTACCTCTCCTCAGATCTGGGCTGCCCACATTCACAGCTGTGCTCTGCTTTCAGTTGCTGTGTGCTTGTCAGAACTAAGTTCAGGGTCACAGAGAAAGCCATTCCTGCTGAAGTGTTGGGACAGGGTGGAAGAGCCGGCACACACTGAGGCAGGAAGTGCTTTGGTTTTTAGTGAGGTTTGGTGGCTGTGCTTTTCCCCAGTCTCACAATCTTATTCAACAGGATAGTCTGGAAAGAACTGGAGCACATTAAATGAAGGAAAGGAAAAGGGGTCCCTTCCCCAAGGAGAAAGGGGTCACTGCTCCAGGCCATCAAATTCCTAGAATGGAGCAGCTCTGGGTGGGGATTAACATCTGCATGAAGGGGAGATAAAAGTTTCATTCCTTGTCTTAGATGAAAGTTTTATAGTATTTGATAGAAAAATCTCACATTTGATATTGCTTTGTTATTTTACTAATTCTTATTTTTTGATGTTCTTGTATTGATTTTATAGATTTTAGGCAGGCTGTGGTGGCATGTGCACTCAGGAGGCAGGGGCAGGCAGATTTCTGTGTCTAGTCTTAGTTATGACGTAAGCAAACCAGTTTGGCTGGGTATACTGGAGCCTCACTTGTGTGCTCCCACTCTGTTATTTTACCTGTCAGTTTAATTCATCAGTGAGGCTAGAAGCCCTCATGCTGTGTGAGCAGAGAGTGTTCCACACAGATAATCAATTATTGCTTGTTCTCTGATTTCCTTTTGTTACCATTTTCCCTCCCCCACCCCCACATTCGATGAATGAACTTCCTCAAATGGTTTTCTTCCTTCATTTGTTTCTTTATGTTTTTGATAGGTGTAGTGTTCTGAGTGTAGTCCTTGTTGCCTCCAGAATCTACGACTCTTAACTTTAAAAAGTTTGCCTTAATGAGTGCTGCTGGTACTGGTTCTTCAGTGGACAGTGGGGAACCTCAGCTCCCCACCAAACCAAAATCTCCGGATGTAGCCTCTGCTGCTCAGTTAACTACAGCTGCTTCAGCCTTATACCCCAGTGTCTCTCCATTTAGAGATACTCTGATTTCCTTTTTAAAAGAAAAGAGGTGAGCCAAGCGTTGGTGGCGCACACCTTTAATCCCAGCACTCGGGAGGCAGGGGGATTTCTGTGAGTTCGAGGCCAGCCTGGTCTCCAGATCGAGTGCCAGGATAGGCTCCAAAGCTACACAGAGAAACCCTGTCTCAAAAAACCAAAAAAAAAAAAAAAAAAAGAAAAGAGGTAGAAAAAAAAAAAAAAAGCAAAACATCTTCCCAGTTAAGAATATGTCACCCAGTCTGCTGGGGAGAGATGGGACTGGGGAGAGAGAGGAGGGCAGGCATGTAATCACTCCTGAGTTTCACCACCTCCAGTCTGCAGTCTTGACTGCCACCTAAAGAGGTGTGGCTTCTGAGGGCTGAAGTTAAGTCACTCTGCTTATTTGGGCGGGGTCTGCCTTTTCATTGCTGTTCATACGTCTGCTTGCTCTTTTCCAGAGTGTGGTTGTTATTCTTTTGATGTCTTTGCATGTTTTTATTTTTCTTTGAAAATTGTCTTAATCTTGTTTTAGTGGGTTACAAGAGAGAGCAAAAGTCAGTGACTGTTGAGTCCTCTGTATTTATCTAAACAGCCCTTTTCCAATCTGCTGGGACTTTGTCAGTCTTGGAAAGCTAAGTAGTTTTCCTTCTGCGCTCCCATCATGGCACTCTGCCTGCTTTTCTTCTGGAACCCATAGAATCTTAGGTCGTTTTGATGTGTTTCTTCCCCCAGCACACATTGCCGTGCATCCAATCCCCAGAATGTACTCTGGAAAAGCTGAAACTAGAGCTCACTCATTCCTTTCAGGGGCCACCCTTCTGCTTTTACTTCTCAGCTGGACTACGTCAGATAGATAGGTAGCTCACATAAATGCAATGATAAGGTATTGTCTCTTGTGTTGGGCTTGTTTCATTTATCGTAATGTCCTTGAGGCCACGGATACACTGCGTGTCAGAATCTGCCTCCTTTTCAAGGCTAGTATTATATTTTGTGTATACATTATAATGCTGTGTTTTGCTCACCTACCTGTGGAGATTTGTAGGTTGGTAAGTATTGCTAGCTTTTTTTTGTTCTTTCTGCTTGTTTGTTTTAGACTGAACATTCCTTTGTGGCCCAGGATGGCATCAGATTCATACTTTTCATGTTTTGGCCTGGGCTGGTGCTAGGGTGATAAGTGTACACTGGCCTCAGCATTTTGAGAGGCCGCTCTCATTCTTTGAGATATGTATCTGGACATACGATTGTGTTTTATGACATTGACACTTTTGAAGAACCTAATTACTGCCCACCTCCTCTCTTTTAAAAACTGGATGATTGCCATTTGGGGCTTTTGTAACGTTTCCCCAGTTGCCATTCAGATGCCCTCCGGCTAGCTTGGATAATGCTGTGTGCTCCTTAGGACTTCCTATCAAAAGGCATGTGGTGACCACTGCTCCTCACAGGCAATGTTCGTTTTAATCAACGGATCGCTGATATTTGATTTTTCTGTATAACTTTTCTGCATATTATAAGTAACCAATGTGGCTTCACTATAAGATCATGCAAAATATCCCACTTATCAAAAGTTTGACCTGGATTTATCACCCACTGATATTTCCTGCCAGGACTCATCTTACTGTGAAGGTGCAAAATGGGGACTTTTTTTCCTTTCAAATGCACAAAAGCTCGTTTCAAAGTCAATTTAAATTACATTCAATAGATCATTTTCAATGTCTAAAGATCAGTATATTAAATATAAGAGAGTCTATTAACACATCATTGAAGAGTTAAGTAGCTTCTGAATTTCTGGAATTTAATGGGCATTATGAGTAGTTCTATAAAGTCACTGCTACATTTTAAGCTTGAAGTTATAGTATATATAGTATTATAAACATGGTCATGTTCGTAATTATGTTGATGCTTCTTACTCAGTCTGTAAGTGTTTACAGTATAATCTGTTTTCCTGTGAATCGACTGTTTAATGAATGATCAATCTTATCATTTACTTCATTGAGATCAAAGGAGAACACATTTTATAAAATGTAATAAATTTTGAACTGGCATGGGAGATAGAAAAACTTTTATTTATTTGTGTGTATATCCAAATGTCTGGAACAATTTGTATCTCTAAAGAATTTCTAAAGTGATTATAGTGTATTTTCCCAGGCAACACATAGATTAGATAGAAACTTCTCTGATAAAAATGGTAAACAAAAAACATTTAGGATATCTTTTTTAATACCATGACTGAATTGGCACCAAAGTAAGAAAACAATATGGCCCTGCTTAGGAAGGCAGCCCATTTGCACAGGGGTAGGTGAGCCCTGTTTACCCTTGAAAGATGCCTTCTGAGTCCAATTTTCCTCACTTCAGAACCTGGGCTTTCAGGAGGAAGCTGCTTACAGGGGCAAAAGAAGTTGCCGGTGTTATTAGTGAGAAGTTCAGGCAGTACATAGAGATACAAGGGTCAAACTTGGTATGGGTCATTTAAGAAAACAGCCAGCTCTTCAGACCAACTCCAGAACCTCATGCCAATTCTCACCCTTGACTTTGATTGGAGTACCAGCCCTTTTATCCTGAGACAGAACTTTTCATCACAGTCCTTGTTCATGTGAATTTCAAGTTTGAATTTATAGGTCATCAAAAAAAGAACCAAACAAACAAAAACAAAAATAAAAAACAAGTCTCTATCTAAGAGTTTGGTTAAATGGGGTTCAGACACTGCCGAGGCCTACCCACATGAGCAGAATCATCTTCACAGAAGAGTGTGGGTGTACATTTATCTGTGATGCAGTAGGTCAGAACAAGGGCTTTCATATGCTGTGCAAACACTCTACCATTGAGTCACATTCCCAGAACACTATGATTAAAAATCAACCAAAAAGAATGTCTTATTTCTATGAAATGTGAATTTAAAACTAGGAATTGCTACAGTATAGCTCACTGGTAGAGTACCTGTTAGGCATGCACATGGTCCTGGCTCTAATGCAAAAAATGAAAACATAAGATGGAAATTCCAAGATGTGTTATGATGCATACCTGCAATCCCTGCTCTCTGGAGCCAAGGAGGGAGGCTCATAAGTTCATGACTGGTCTATGAACAAGACTGTCTTAGGATTTTAAGGAGACACCATATGACAGCAACTCTTATAAAGGAAAACATTTAATTGGGGTGGCTTATAGTTTAGAGGTTCAGTTCATTATCATCGTGACAGGACATGGCAGTGTGCAGGCAGACATGGTGCTGGAGAGGACCTAAGAGTCCTACATTTTGATCTGCAGGCAACAGGAAGTGAACTGAACTAGGTATAGCTTGAGCATAGGAGACCTCAAAGCCCACCCCCACAGTGACACATGTCCTCCAACAAGACCACACCTACTTCAGCAAGGCCACACCTCCTAATAATGCCACTGCCTATTAGCTTATGGAGGCCAGTTACATTCAAACTATCACAATAGCCATTTTTCATTCTGTTGCTGCTGAGTTTAATCTATTTGTAGTTATGATAACTAAGTTTGTAAAGATAAAATTAGGTAGGTACATCATTTTTATGTAATGAATCTGTCTTTCAGATGGAATAGTGATACTATACTGTGTCTCTTTTGTTTTCCACAGACAATGAATCCTGAGTTATCACATAATGTAATTGGGAGCTATCTTAACCCTCCAGAAAGGATGTATTTTCCATCATTCATCCAGAATGAAGCATCTCAGAATGGCTATCCTGTGGATTCAGAAGTCATCCCTCCTAAAATGTTTAATAGCCCAAACAACCAAGGTAATATTAGTATGAAACTTTACAGAAAATTCAGAGCAGGACACAGCATGGGACAGAGATTACTGTTTTTATATAGAAAATAGTGTGCTTATGTATTGAATATTTGCAGACCTGTTAACCACAAGTCTGCTGCTGTTCTGTGAGCTTACAAAGGTCTCTTACCATTTCTTAAACTATGGGCTTCTTCAGCTATGAGCTAATGATTAACAAGCTAATCAATATTACACATTTACCATTAAAAATACCTTAGAACACAGAAAACTACTCTTAGCAATAAAAAGTCAGAGCTGGGGTGGTGGCTCACACCTTTAATCTCAGCACTTGAGATGTAGAGGCCAGCCTGGTCTTCATAGCAAGTTTGATGCCAGCCAGGACTAAAGAGAGAAACTCTGCCTCAAACAAACAAAAAAGATAAACATTTATTAGCTGTTACAGGTAGAATGATAAAGAAAAAATTTTATTTAGATGGTTCCCTTTTTTTTTCTTCATGGTCTCACACCGTTGCCCTGGATGGCCTCAGATACAGTACTTCCTCCCTGCCCCAGCCTTGGGAGGGAGTGCTGGCCTCACAAGCATGTGCCCCCATACAGGTCCAGTCACTTTTTCATGTGGCATGAAAGAACCTATCATGAAGGAGCCTATGGGCTCCTTCAGGCTTTGCATGCGTTTCACACTACTGTGTTGTCACTGTGTCTTGTGACGTAACACTCTTTGGATCTAGCAGAACTGTACAGGGTTTTTCTATTTTATTTTATTTTGTTTGTTTTTTATTGAGAGAGGATTTCTCTGTGTATCCCTGACTGTCCTGGAACTCGCTCTGTAGACCAGGCTGTCCTTGAACTCTGAGATCCTCCTGCCTCTGCCTCCCGAGTACTGGGATTAAAGATGTGCACCACCACCACCTGGCTGAAGTTCTAGGAAGGCAGACTTAAAAAATCATTTTCAATTTTTTAGCTTGGTCACCTGATTTTGATGTTAGTCTTCATAGTTTCAGAGCAATGAAGTTGTCACTGAAGAGCGTGATATGCATATTTCTTCTTGCCTCTCAAGGTGTCTCTTTATTTATAAATTACTTCTTTTTCTATTAAATTTCTTGTCAATTTGTAAGTGAAATAAACATCTAAGGGGCTAGCAATAGAGAGAAGCTCAGTGTTTAAAAATGCTTTCTCGGCAACCACACCGTAGGAGAGGACTGACTGACTGACTGACTGTGTGTGTGTGTGTGTGTGTGTGTGTGTGTGTGTGTGTGCATGCATGTGTGTCTGTGTATTGTACGTGTGCTCCATGGCACATGTGTACCCATGCACATATATGCATACATACAAATAAAAAGGGAGCGGTGGTAGGGCACATGCCGTTAATCCCAGCACTCTGGATGCAGAAGCATGTGGATCTCAGAATTTGAGGCCAGCCTGGTCTATCTACAGTAAGTTCCAGGCAGCCAGGGCTACACAGAAAAAGGGAAATAAATAAATTATAAAGGATAGAATAAAAATTGGATTTGGAATCCTTCTAACATAGATAATCAGAATGCTAGTGAGTGATATGGATTGTATCATATTCAAGCATCAAGTCAGAATTCACATATCCAAAATTATCCTTGTGAATCCCTTTGAAAGCCATTATATTCAAGTAACTATAAAATATGACTATTAGAACTTTTTTTCGACATCAACTTAAGAGAACCTTAAAATTGAATTAGAAAATATTTGTGACTCCATAAGTATTTAATGTTTTACAGATTACTTTATAATCTATTACCTTTCCAAAAAGTCAGGAATCATAGTTGCTGTCTTGGGTAGTGTTTCTATTGTGATAACACCATGACAAAGCAGCCTGGTGAGGAAAGGTTTATTTCTCAGATTGTACTTCATCTGTCCCTGAGGGAAGGCAGGGCAGGCTCAAGGCAGGACCCTGGAGGCATGCTGCTTACTTGCCTGCTCCTCGTGCCTGCTCAGCTGATTTCATGTGACCACTGAATGGCACTGCCTACAGTGAACTGGGCCCTCCCCTATCAATAATTAATCCAGACAGTGTACCACAGGCTTTCCCACAGGCCAGCGTGGTGGAGGGCATTTTCCCAGTTAAGGGTCCTTCCCAGATGATGCTTGTGTCTAGTTGCTATTCAAATCAGTGAGCCAGCTGCTGGTGCCAAATAAGGAGAAAACAAAAGTCTCCAGCAAACATTTTACTAGCTGGGATATATGCTATTAACATTCACTTATTTATATTCTACTCAGATATAGTTTTATCATTTGAAACCACAAGGGAATAGAAAATGTAAAATAACATTTGAAAAATGCTTAACTCTTAACGTTTTCTGCATCATGAAGACACCAATGTAGCTAAGTAAAAATCACAATAGCAAACATGGGCTCCTTGTGTCTTGTAGCCCAGATCATTTGTTTATTTGTTTCTTTCTTTCTTCCTTTCTTTCTTTCTTTCTTTCTTTCTTTCTTTCTTTCTTTCTTTCATGGAAAAACTGTTCCACCTCACCTGTCCTGATTTTTAGTATTGCTTCTAGGACAAAGAACAAAATAATAGCTGCGGTTTCACTGAAACTGGCCACATCAAGAACCGAGTGTATCTTTAAGCCTCAATTACCATATTAATTAGTAGAAAGTCTCTCGTTTGGAATAATAAATTACTTGTAGTTCTATCCTAGAAATCATTTAATCCAGTAGATTATTGGTTTTGCAAGATACACCATAAGAAATGTATTCCTTTTTTAGAATTATTTTAATTTTATGGTTATTATACATCAACTTGTATATATTTTCTTGCTACTAGCAAAAATACACTATTCATTTTTTATTGTTACCCAAGCAACTATGATTATTGAGTTTTCAAAAACTTTCACCTAAAACATCAAGCAAATTTCTTTTCAATAGCACTTGTTTCAGCATTAAAAACTCTTCAGGAAAAGATCCATCGCCTGGAACTGGAGCGGACTCAGGCTGAAGACAACCTGAACTCTCTGTCCAGAGAGGCGGCACAGTACAAAAAGGCCCTGGAGAGTGAGACAAACGAGCGGGACCTGGCCCACCGGGAGCTGATTAAGCAGAAAAAAAGTAAAGGCGATGGTTGTTGGCAGAGCTTAGTTTGACAGCAATAAGCCCAGGGGAAGCTGGCTTACAGCATCCATCATAGAAAGCCTGAGGCCATTTTGGTATTTGTGGGAAACTAATGTTACTTGGCACCTACCTGCATTATATCTATTATCCCAGCTCACAAATATATTTTTGGAGTGAGAGTCTCACACGTCCCCCAAGCTGGTCTTGAACTTGCTATAGCCAAGGGTGGCCTTGCACATCTGATCCTCCTGACTCCGCCCCAAGGGCCAGATTGTGGTGTGAACCACCAGGCTTGCAAGTGCAGTGTGTGTGTGGTGTGGGGGGGGTCTGAAGTATTCCACCAGCTGAGCTGCAGCCCCAGCCCCAGGTTCATCAGTATTTGAGTTAAAAGAAAAAGCTTAGGTAAGTTGTATTTAGAAATTAGAATATTTTTAGAATAAATAATAAAGCCCAGCTAAACCCATAATAATACTTAATATTTTTGGTTGACATTAATCTAAAATTTTTAAATATAAAGCAATGGTAGTAATCAAATGACATAAAATAATAAAAATGAATGGAAAATAATTTTATTCAGCTTGAGGAATATAGGATTAATTAGAGGAGATAGAGGCTTCTGTGGAAATTAGGAAAGGGGCATTAGATAAGAATTTTAAGAAATTTAGAGTGTGAGTTCTTTGTATGTTTTTTTCTTCAAAACTTTTTTGTTTTCCTTCTAAAACATTGACCCACATACATAAAACCTCTCTTTGTCTTTCACCTTGCAAATAGAATGAGGAATGAAAAGAAAAAGTGAGACTGAGCAGATTTAAACTGATGAAAGTGAAAGGATTAAAACTTGATTACTTCCCCTTTAGAATTAACTGAGTGGTCAGCAGTTCAGTGCAGAGGAGAGAGCCGGGCATGGTGGTGCACACCTTTACTCTCAGTACTTGGGAGACAGAGGCAGATCTGTCTAGCTAGCCTGGTCTATGTAGCAAGTTACAGGCTATCCAGGGCTACAAAGTCAGAGAGTGTTTCGCAGATACAAGTTTTTTTATTTTTTATAAAAAGAAAAAGAGTAGAGGAGAGAGTCAGTGTGATTGCTGCTTGCTGCCAAACTTGATGCACCTCAATTTGATTCCTAGGGCTAAAGGGCAGAAAGTGAAAACTGAAACACACAGGTTGCTCTCAGACCCCCATTAATGAGTTATTCATCCAAAGTCTGTTTAAAGTCAGTGAGTGAGAGCATGTGCTTGCTGTATAAGAATGAGATCAGAATTAGAATCTCCAGCACAGCATGACTGTGAGGACCTCGAGCTCCGGCTTTGGGGTAAATGGGAAAGAGAGGAGAGCTTAGTTGCTTGCTGGCCAGCCAGGCAAGCTGAGCCAATGGCTTCCAGTCGTGTAAGAGGCCTGACTCAAGGGAATAAGGTAGAGGGAGGAAGACAGTTGACATCCTCCTCCTCTGGCTTATGTGGGCACTCAGTGCACACCACATACACACAAAGTCACTTTTAGCTTTGGATCAAGTTTGCACTGTAACTAAGTCCCTGATCTGTGTAATAATCAGCTATTTTGTCTTGCATAGATATAAGCATCCAGTTAAGCTCAGCCCAGTCCCGTTGTACTCTTCTAGAGAAGCAACTAGAATATACAAAGAGAATGGTTCTCAATGTGGAACGAGAAAAGGCCATGATCCTAGAACAACAGGTAAGCATGCTCTCCTTTGAGGAATGGTAATTTAATAAGGCATTTTGAAGAATGTAATATGGGAAAGTTTTCATATTATAACCATAGTAAGATATAAGGCTATGTGTAGATCTTCCCTCCTGATTTAACCCTTTCAGGGAACAGTCTCAGACATACCTGTCCATGTGTTTCCATGGTGCAAAGTTGACAGTGATGAGTGACCATCACCATCCATGCCTTACCAGCTTGATACCCAAGCAGATGTGCTTTAGATCACAGCACTCCACCATGCACCATCTCTAAAGTTTCCTATAATCTTTTAACAGTCCAAGCACTGTTCCAAGTCTAAAATCCCTTCTGAGAAGCAAAACAAACTCTTCACTTTAAGCTCCCATAAAATCACAAAGAATACCAGCATATAGTGATGCAGAGTCTGATATTTCCATTATAAATGAGGGGTGGGGCGTACAAAGATCAAACAACAAAACTGAAAGTCAGAGAGCCAGCATCAACCTTGTGCTGCAGTGTGGCAACTGGGACTGTGATATGGAGCCATCAGAGTTCCCAAAACCCTTGAGGAGTCACGCCCTCAGGCTCTCCTGCCTGTGACACACATGTCCTGTCTGTTGAGGAGTCACGCCCTCAGGCTCTCCTGCCTGTGACACACATGTCCTGTCTGTTGAGGAGTCATGCCCTCAGGCTCTCCTGCCTGTGACACACATGTCCTGTCTGTTGAGGTGTCACACCCCTCAGGCTCTCCTGCCTGTTGCACACAGAGCCTCTCCCTTGGGCCAGGTCTACGATATGCTTGTAACTTTCCTGAGAAGATGTCCCATGATGTTGACATCTCCAACATCTGGGGGTCTCACTGCAATTTAGGCTTCACCTCGGCTGCTTCGTGCAGTAGCTTCTCAGGGCCTCTTTGCAGGAACTTGGAGCCTGTCATGCACTGCCTAGTGTTGGTGGCCTTTAAGACCACCAACCACTTGGTGCAAACCTTGATGGCCTCTCACTCTTCTTTCATTTATGCAAAGCCAACACCATGTGGATGACACTGCCAAGTTCTTCTGCCAGCCCAAGGTGTGCTCTGACCTCTTGGACCACAGTTGCAGTGGCCCGTGTGCCTACATGTACCGTGGGTTTTCAAGCAGAGAACACTTCAAAGGGCTGAACAGTCCCTGTTCAGACTCTGCTTTCAACTGAATTTGCATTTTCACAAGCTCCATGGAACCTCCATGGCTCAGGTCTTACCCTCATAGCACCTTTCCTGTTGTTCCAAGGGCAAGAACCAGGTGTCTCTTTAATGGAGCTATTATCTTTAACACTTAAAATTGCTGCCCATCCCATCTTGGCTGCAGTGCTGAATTTGCTCAATGCTCTCTTCGTGACTACACTGCACATTTCCATAGTTTTCTGGTCCTCTTTTTGCTCTCTTTCAATGCAGTAGGCAATAACCATGCCACAGTCTGAAAACAATCATACCTAGAGGCTGGGCAGTGGTAGCACTTGGAGGTAGAGGCAGGGCGTTCTCTGTGAGTTCAAGGCCAGCTTGATATACAGAACTAGTTCCAGGACAGATAAGACTAAACCCTATCTCAAAAAAATGGGGTGGGGGTCGGGGGACTTCCCTTGAAATTTCCTCTACCAAATAATACATTACTTTTTAAAAGATTTATTGTAGGTGGGTAGGTGGGTGTATGTCTGTGTATCTGTGTGTGTAGTGCCCAGCTAGGCCAGGAGAGGGCCTTGGATCTTCTGGAACTCGAGTTACAGAGAGTAGTGAGCTACCAGATGTGGGTACTGGGAATCAAACCCAAGTCCTGTGCAAAAATATCAAGTGTTCTTAACTGATGAGCCATCTTCAGCTGCTGTTCTTTACTTTTGAATTCAGCCACACTCGAGTTCTCAGGACATGGGCAGAATGAGTCCAGTTTTGCCACCAGACTATAGTAAGAATGGCCTCTAGCTCAGTTCCTATTATCAAGTCCTGTTCCTCTTTGGAATATACCACTGTGTATTTATTAGTTTTCTTGTCTAACCTCCCCAGGATGGTCATAGGATTCTAGGAGTTCTCTAGCTCACAGCTCCAAACTCTTTCCCATGTAGTAGTCAGGTTCATCACGTCCACAGCCCCACACCTCAGCACCAGTTTCCTGTTGTTGTGACAAACACCTGACAAAAGCAACTTTGACTTGCAGCTTGAGTGCACAGACCATCATGGTAAGACAAGAAACATTTTATGTGAGTCTTCCCATCAAACACCATCAACATCAACACACTTGTGTTGAAAAGTCAAGTATTATCTTTTCCACCTTGTAAAACTTTAACAGACACACACACACACACACACACACACACACACACACCAGAACCTCTGTTCATGCAAGGCCCCTAATGCTAGGATTAAAGTCACTAACCCTTCTCCCCTTCATTTCCCTTGCACTGTGTCTTTTCAGACTAGCCAATTGCAGAAGGGCGTGAGGTTGGACCCAGCCAATGGGGAAAAGCCATGGTCACCTCCTGAATTAGGATAGAAGTCAGAGTGTTCCAGTGCTTGTGTGGCTCTGGGGAACAGCATACCTCTTTTCAAGACAGAAGCTTTGCCGAATGGGAGACTTCTGGTCGCATGGCATCCACAGTCAGGAAGCTATTCAGTTTGGGATCCCAACCCATGGAGTAGTTGGTGTCCCTGACATTCAGACTGGGCTAAGCCTTTCTGTAAACACCCACACAGGCACACCCTAAAGCCTAATCCCGCTAGGACCCAAATCCAGTCATCTTGAAGATGAAGATTAACTATTAGCTTTTGCCTCACCTCCTCTGCCTGAGGGAGTCTTAGATTTGGTATAGGCTCCTGTCCCAGAGTTCTTAATGGAGTGTTCATGCTTGTTTACTTTCTTTGTGGAAATCTGAGTGTGATGTTCCGTCCGCCTTTTCTTCACTCCTAGTATTCTTTATTATGCTTGGTCTATCGGTTCTGCGCTCTACCTGTGATGTTCTCTGCTGTGGTTTCATTTGGCAAACTGGGTTTTCATTTCTAACATTTCAGCTTGGTTTCTTTCCTGAGTTCCTCATGTTTCTATTTTATCTCCCACATCCCAAATTGATTTCCTTCCTTTGCCTATCTGCTTGCTCCTGTGTTCTTTTTTTTCATTCATTTATTTAGTTCATAAATAAAGTCATGCACAATTATGATACACGATACAGTATGTTCACAATGGCATGGCTAAATTAAACCAATTAACATGTTATATCACACATATTCATCATTTTTGTTTTGAGAACACTTAAAGTGTATCTCACAACTTTTAAAATATAGCATATTGCTATCAACCATATTTACCATGCTCTCAGTAGACCTCAAGACATCACAGCGTCCATGCCTCTTGTCCAACTGCAGTTTTATATCCTTAAACCAATCGTTTCCCCATTGTTAAAAGACCCACATTGAAGCCTAATAGTCACAATTCTGCTCTCTGTTCCCATAAGTTCATCATTTCTAGGTTACACATAAAATTGAAATTGTGTGACATTTGTCTTCCAGTGTGTCACTTATTTTTTATATGTTATACATCAATAGCAGCAACAGCTTTTCCAGGTTCTGCAGTCCTTTGAACAAAATTGTAGAGACATCCAGCACACTCCATTTTAAAAAAACAAAAAACAAAAAACAAACAACAAAAAAGTAAAAAACAAAATCCCAGAAGACAGCACAGTTCTGTTACTACTGTGTTCTTTTAAGTTCCTGTGTTTCCTCTTGTTAGCGAGTGGACTTTGAATCCTCCATTAAGCCTGCATTTATTTAGACTTGTTTATTAATGAGGGGTCTGATCTTTGGGGGTGTTGTACTCCCCTTTTTGCACTTCTTGTGATTTACCTTGTTGGTGTGGGATTCTTCGGCTTTTATCTGGGGTCTTCATGAGCAGCCTTCTCTTACAGATATAATCTTCAGTCACACTGAGAGGAGAAAACAGCACCACCACCAGACAAACAAGAAATAAAAACACCCTAAAGATTGGGAAAAGCCATCTCCTGTGGCACTAATGATACAGATTAGAAAATAGCAAGAAAATGATGCAGAGTGGGCTGTGAAATTAACATTTGTTTAGGTTAAAATTAAAGCTAGCTGATGAGTAGGGGAAGCGAACAGAGCACTGAAATCTTCGGTGTGTCCAGGCTCCCTCCGTGCGTTCTAACCCTGCTCCACATGGACTGCCCTTGGGGAGACTATGCCCTGTACTGAGTTCACTCTTACTGGCCCAGAACTACAAGGCACATAGGTGGCTCCAGAAGTCTGGTACCCATTGACCTCAAGCTCAGAGTTATCCACAGTTGTCCACAGTTATCTTCAGGTGATGGAGTCTTCGCCCATCCTCAGGGGGAAGTTGAGCTCCGTCTACCATACCTTCCCTGCCAGAGCCCAGCTTTCTGCAGCCTGAACCACTCGATATCTAGTCCGACCCCTTCCCACACCATAACTGCCTCCTCCCAGGGGCTACAGCACAGAGTCCCAGGCTTCTACCTGCCTGTGGTTGGTTATTCCTTGTTTTTCCAAGTCCCCAGAATGGCTCAGTCTTAAAACAATAGTCTGGCTCCCTTGCACACAGCCCTCTGAGATGGGGAATGACAGAAGAGTCACCACCTGATAGATTCCCCAAGTGGATTGGTGGCCTACTTCACCATGTGGCCTGCCTGCCTACCTTACCTTCTGGACCAGCTGAAGCCATGTTAGTCCCCGTGCCCGTCTCTGAGCGTCTCACCTGTCCTGTCACCTCCTTTGTGGTCTGTGGTGTGCTTCTAAACTTTCTCTCTTTGGGGTAGTTTGTTCTCTGTTGTCTGACTCTTCCTGGAGTCAGTCAGAGGCAGCTTCTAATCTACCTCGCCCCAAGTCTCCCTTCAATTCTCTTAACTACTGTGTTTTTGTAGTTCAAGTTTTCAAGTCCCTATCAAACACTGTTTACCTTCATCCAAAAGTTTGATAATTTTTATTTCATGTAAAAATATTTTCAAATCTTACTAGTGATTTCTTTGTGTGCATACATGCTTGTGTGTGTGGTGTAAAGAACTAAACCCTGGGCATTGGGTATGCCAGGCAAGTGCTTCACTGTTGAGTTACTCCTTCAGCTCACTACTCATTTTAATTTATTGATTGATGTACTTATTTATTTATGTTGAGACAAAGTCTCAATCTGGTGCCAGGCTGGATTTGAACTCACAGTCATCCCTGTATTTATTTACAGTTTAATCATTTCTAGTGCTTTCCATTTTTCTACATAGATTGGGTTTCCTTCAGCCTGAAGAAAAAAAATAATGCCAAAAATTCTCATAGCATTTGTATACCTGGAGAGCCTTTGTTTCAGACATATTTGTGAGAGATGTTTTTGCTAGAAGTGGAATTCTAGTTTATGGCTTTTATGTTTTGTCTATTTTGTATGTGTATGTGTTTAGATGTATATATGTGTGGTCTCGATGCACACATTTGATGGCACACTTTTCAAAAGTCCATTTTCTTCCCCTTCTGTTTCGAGGCAGCTCTGCCTCACTGTCTCCGAAGCTGAGTTCCAAGAACAACTCTGTTTTGAAGAAACTGAGGTTACAAGGCTCTCGTCCTGTTTTCTTGGAGTGTTCTCACAGCACTCAGAAATCTCACACATGACTCCATTCCTGGACTGTGCTCTGACAATGCTCCTGTGTCTAGTGTCCTATGTGTTGCTTCTACTTTTTTATTTCTGGTGTTTGTGGTTTTATTTTTTTAATCTGTTAATATTTTAGGTTACTTTGGAACACTTTTAGCCTTTATTCTGCAGTGGGCATTTTGTCTCACTCCTCTCTCTCTTGTCTGAGACAGTGGTGTCTTGGCCATACATCTCCAAGATGGCTCTTAGTGGGTGCTTTTCATTTTGTTCTAATTAGTAGGCTTTCCCTTTTAAAGCCTTTTCATATTCATAGAAAAACAAGTAAGATTCTTCTTTGCTCCCAAACAGTTGGCTCTTATTACTAACGTAATAAACAGTCTAGTAAAACAGCCTTCGCATGTGTATGGTAAGTTCCTATGTGTGTGTGTGTGTGTGTGTGTGTGTGTGTGTGTGTAGGGAGTAACTCCCTGTGCATGTGTGTGGTAACTCCCTGTGCATGTGTGTGCGGTAACTTCCTGTGCATGTGTATGGGTAAATTCCTTTGCATGTGTGTGTGTGTGGTAACTTCCTGTGCATGTGTGTGGTAACTTCCTGTGCATGTGTGTGGTAACTTCCTGTGCATGTATGTGGTAACTTCCTGTGCATGTGTGTGGTAACTTCCTGTGCATGTGTGTGGTAACTTCCTGTGCATGTGTGTGGTTACTCCCTGAGCATGTGTGTGGTAACTTCCTGCACGTGTGTGTGGTAACTCGCTGTGCATGTATGGGTAACTTCCTGTGCATGTGTGTGAGTAACTTCCTGTGCATGTGTGTGGTAACTTACTGCACATGTGTGGTAACTCCCTGCTCACATGTGTGTTAACTTCTTGTGCATGTCTGTGGTAACTTCCTATTGTGTTTTATCCCCAACTGCTCTTCTATGTTAGAGTCAGGGAGGCTGGGGCTATGAGTTAGGCTTGGTCGCCTGTGAGTTACACCTTGTAGCTTTGATGTAAGTTTTGTGTGATACTCTCCCTGGTGCCACTGGTGTATAAGGATGCAAAGAGGTTTATCCTTTTAGTGCTAATTCAACAACATGTTTGTCACATAGTACATTTGCTCCTTTAAAGGGTTTGAAGTTCTTGTTTTCTGCTCATAAGTGCCTACTGTATAGACATGTATATACATGTTTCTAGCAGCTGGTTATGTTATACTTTGATTTCTCAGAAATTATGTTACTCTTGATCCATTGGCTTTACTTGCCAAATTTAGATTTTTTTTTTTTATCTTTTCTAGGCCCAGCTTCAAAGGGAAAAAGAACAAGATCAAATGAAGCTGCATGCTAAACTGGAAAAGCTGGATGTCTTAGAAAAAGAATGTTTTAGATTGACAACGACTCAGCAGACTGCTGAGGTAAGCTTCACTTGTCTCTGAGGTGCTGGTGCCAGGAGGAAAGTAAAGCTGGCACCATATGGGAATGAATGAGCCAAGGTTTAGAGCACTTCATGTGCTACTCTCAGTGATCCAGGTGATCCCTGCCCGAGGAGAAAGTGTGTTCTGTCATGGCGGGAGACAGCTTGCCTGCTGACACCGAAGTAGGAGCTGACTGCCAATGTCAGAACATTCCCAATTGTCAGGTGTCTGACCTAAAGGGCATTAGATGGTCTTTACTGCCTATCCCACATCCCCTCTCCTCCCCGCCCCCAGGTCCATCTCGTTTCACAGAACTGCTCTAGAGCCTCTTGTCCTCTTTGTAGCCCCTCATAAGTGCTCAGACGTCTCTCCCTGTGATACTTCTGTCACGGTTCCTGTTCTGAACCCCACAAACATAGAAGGTGTAATATGTGTGTGTGTATATGTATGGAGTGTATGATGGGTCTTTTTAAGTTGTTCTCATTGCTTTGCCATTTTACCATTTCATGTGTGTTATTCTTTTCAATGTTTTTTTAGTTTATTATTGTGTACGTGAATAATGGGGGTGGGGTGCATATATGCCATGGCACATGTGTGGAGATCAGAGGACAGCTGTGTGGAATTGGTTCTCTCCTTCCACTTCTGTGTGGTTCCAAGGATCAAACTCAAGTGATCAGACTTGCATGACAGGCACTTTAGCTGCTGGACTGTCTTGCTAGCCCTTGTGCTTATTATAATCCTTGTTTGATGGGGCAAGTAACCAGGGCCAACCCTTACATTTCTCAGGTGTCTTCCTGCCCCCCATCACATGCGTGTGACCAACATTGTCCCCCATCCCATGTACATGGCCACATTACTATTGTTTGAGTGGACATTGGGAGCCAAGACCACAATAGCCTTAAAAGCTATAACATTCTCAGAAGTTTCACCATGGTTCTGGTGGTAGCTAGAAATAAAGCTTGTGTGTTTATTGTCTGTAGATCTGGCGGTGACCACAAGACAGTCGCTAAAATGCGGACTGGCCCTTGAATTCTCAGCCACACTGAGAGGAGAAAACATGAACAACACCAGACAAGAAGTAAAAACACACCAAAGATTAGTTAAAGCCATCTCCTGTGTCATCTCAGTAATGACATAGAATAGGAAATAGGAAGACAATGATGCACAGTGTGCTGCGAAGTTAACGTTTGTTTAGGTTAAAAAAAAAAAAAAGCTAGTGGATATGTAGGAGAATCAAGCAGAGCACTGGGATCTTTGATGTGTCCAGGCTTTTACTTTGCTCTCGTGTACAATAGCAAAGAAGGAAGCATAGGGAGAAAGCCAAGAGAAATCTTGGCATCTTTGCCATTCCTTTTCTTACTTTCTACTCTCACTTGCTAGCTCTTTAAAAGTCTAGACCCCTAGGACTGTCCTGGAAAGGACATTTGGCTCTGGCTTTCATGTATGTTTGTTCTCTTGCAGGATAAGATAAAATATCTGGAGGAAAAACTGAAGGAAGAGGAGCATCATCGCAAGCTGTTTCAAGACAAAGCGTGTGAGGTCAATAGCAATCTTTAGTCTGTCATAGAGACTGTCTTTGCATGCTTGATTGTCATGATCTAAGCCCTTGTCTACACTTGGTGTGGGGGTTCCAGATTGTTACTACTGTCTGTTTTGCTGTGGTAACAAATTCTCACTTAGCCAGTACATCCATATACTCAGATACATTGCCAAAAATCCTTGCACAGCATATATTCTTAGTTTAGATAACTGGCTCCAACATACATTAGTTTCAACTTGAAATACACACATTAGCACACATACACATACCTACACACACATAAACATTCTAATTGTAACATGGAGTCTCACTGTGCCTCCTGAGCTAGCTCTGAACTCCTAGGCTCCTGCATCCCTGCTTCAGCTCCACCCAGGTGACTGCAACTAAATAATGCCGGCTTCAGAAAGTATTTATACTCAAAAGCTGAGGCCTCAACTTTCATTATAAAGAAGCGTGTTACAGACCAGTTGTGTAAATCATTTCTTTAATTTTATAGCTTCAAACTGGACTGGAAATCAGCAAAATTTTAATGTCTACAGTTTCACATTCAAAGCTCTGTAAAGAAAAGAAGAAACCACTAAAGGTACGCATATACAGTTTTCCCCAGATACTACTTCCTAACTTTATGGTGTACAATTCATTCACCCTTAATCATTTCCAGTTCTTTCAAGTATATGAGCCTGTGGGGCCATTCTCATTCAGACCAAAAACATGTAGCAGTAATGCCAAGAAATAAGCCAAATAATGGTGGTAAGGACAGAAAGTTCCATAAGACCTAGGCTAAAGTAAAGTAACATCAGCAGTGTGCAAAACTGAACTCTGTTTGCCTGACAGCCAGCAAAGAGCCTGTGCTGTGCGGCAGCTCTGTGCCAGCAAGCAGTCTGGTCCTGCAGAACTCCTAACACAGTATTGTTTAAAAGGGTACTGAGCAGTATATAGTGGTACACACCTTTAATTCCAGCACTAGAGAGGCACAGACAAGCAGGACTCTGTGAAAGCTAGCCTGGTCCAGATAGAAAGATCCAGGTCAGCCAGAGCTATATATTGAGGCATTGTGTCAAAAAAAAAAAAAAAAAACAACAACAACAGAAAACAATGCAGCTTTATATAAACACATATGCAGTTAAAGTTGTTAAATTTTATTTGTTAATATTTGAGACAGGGTTACACACTAGTAACCCAAGTTGGCTTCAGACTTTCCATGTAGCCTGGGCTCACCTTGACTTCTTTCCTCATGCCTGAACCTCCTGAGTAGCTTGGATTATAACCATGTGCTACCACACCTGGTAGATGATAAAAGGAACATACGAAAGAAAATATAAGTTCTGAAAGAGAAGAGGATAACCAACAGCAAAATCATTTAGTGAGGCATGAATTCCACTGCCAGGATCATAGGGTGTGAAAACACCCATGTTTCCATTTAAAGATAAAAGGAGCTCTGACATCACTGGAGATGGAGTCAGAGTTCAGGAGTTCCCTCTTCTCTCTATATTTTTACTGTCTCCATGTCCCCAGCTGAATATTCAACTCATATATTTTGTTGTACTTAGACCAGTGTCTCTAGAGACAGAGACAGATAAACCCAGCATGCTGGCACACACTTGGAGTCCCAGCTGAGCTGGGGCAGGAAGTCTGAGAGTTCAAGGACAAGCAGGGATGTGATGAGTTTTCTGGCACCATGTAACGGGAAGAACACATGGAGAGTGATGCAGAGCCACCACACTGCTGTCAGCCTGGGGATCCTAAAGACTGACACACTGTGGAGAGGGGGGTGTGCTTGAATATACTCCCAGCTGTCTCAAGGCCATCCTGGGTTGACAAGACACTGGCTCAAAAGGGAAAAAAAGCTAACTTTTAAAGCCGGTAGTGATGTTCATTTATAATTCCTGTACTCAGAAGGCTAGGACAGAAGGGCCCTGTGTTTAAGATCAACCTGAAATGCATAGTAGGTTCCTGGCTAGCTTGGCAAACAGTGAGGCTCCTGTCTAAAAATGGGCGGTGGTATTGAATTTGAACTTTTACTCTAAATAGTTGGTACCCATTGAAGGCTTTTAGGAACAGTAGAGACGGTGGTATAATTCTATTGGTAACTGAGAGGCATGAGAGTGTTTCATAGATTTATTACATGTGTGGATTCATGTAGCCATCACAATAATCAAGATACAGAACTGTTCGCTGCTCTAGGGCTCCTCCATACAGTTCCCTCATAGCCACACCCCTCCCCAACCCCAGCAAGGGTTACTGTTTGCCTTCTCTGTGGTTTTCTTGAAGAATGTTGGATAGTTGGGCACTGTGTCTGCAATCTAAGTTCTGAGGAGACTGAGGCAGTGGGATTGCCATGATTTGAGACCTGCCTGCACTACACAGTGACATTGTATCCCAATGAGAACAACGGTCAAATAGAGTTATACAGTTTGAACCTTTGGAGTTGCATTTTTCCCTGGAGTTTCATCTGAGTTCACTTTCCCTTTGACACTAGTCCATGTTAAGGATTTACTACAGTTTAATCAGTCCCTGTGTAAAGACATGTTGGTTTTTGTTACAATAAATCTTTCCGCCAAAGCCGCCCAAGCCCCACTGCCATGTGGGTGCTCTATGCCAGCCGCCCGCCTGAGTTAGGGCTCCAATTAATGCACAGAGAGACTTGTATTAGGTACAATGCTGCTTGGCCAATGACTAGGATTCTCATCTGTTAGCTCAGTCTCAATTATCATAAATCTATATATTTTATAAGACTTATAGAGGACCCCTTTCGCTGGCGCCCTCTCTTGCCGGTGGCTCACATCCTGCCACTGGAGGAGGTGAAGGGGAAAGGGGGCACTTCCTGTTTCTCTTTGCTTAAATATGAGTCTCCTTGCTATGTTACTTCGGGCCTGGATCACCACTTCTCTACTACATTTCCAAGAATCTTCTTTGACTCCTAGTCCTGTCTAACTTGCTGTTTCATTGGCCAAACAAGTACAGTACATTCCCCATCAAGTTGTTGCTTCTTTTCAGCTACTACAAGTAAAGCTATAGGGTTGTGTGTGTGTGTGTACATCAGTTTTTATTTCTTTAGGATAATTTCTCAAGAGTGCAATTGTTAGGTCATGTGATAAATACATGGTTCACTGTATAAGAAACTGCCAACTTGTCATCCAAAGTGGCTTTACCAATATGCAAGTGATGTAGTTTATTTGCATTCTTGACAATATTTGATATCATTGCTGTTCTTTTTTATTTTACCCATTTTAATAGGCATGTGGTGATGTTTTTATTAGATTTTTTATTTTTGTATTTTATATTAACCTGAGTTTCCTAGTAACAAGGTTGTTGCCCATCTCTTCATGTGTTTGCCATTTGTCTTCTCCAGTCAAATGTGTATTCATGTCTGCTCCTACACTCAGATTGCACTTATACTTACTGTTGAGTTTTGAGAGTTTTTCATATCATAAATATATATTAAAATAGCACTTTGCTTCCTTTTCCCCTTGCCAACCTTTAGAAAACTAAGTGTTTAAAGAGAGACCCACCTCAGCAAATGGACCCCAAGTTTAGAGCACTCTCTTTGCAGGGAGGAAAGGTAAGAGGGCAGAAATGAAGATCATGGTTTTGGAAAACTACTTTCCTTGCCGCTGCTGTTTACACACTTTTCAAGTTAGCTTTCTATTGCTGTGATGAACACCATGACCTTCCATGGGGAGGGAAGGGGTTATTTCAGTTTACAGTCCTCCATGAAGGCAAGTTAGGACAGGAACCTAGAAACAGGAACTGACGCAGAGACCGTGGAGGAACGATCCTACTGGCTTGCTCTCCATGGCTTGCCCAGTTTACCACCTGCCCGAGGGTCATCCTGCATCAATCATTAATCAAGAAAATACTCCACAGACTTGCCTATAGACCAGGGGATGCAAGCAGTTTCTCAATGGGGGCTCCCTCTTCCCAGAGGACCTGAGCTTGTGTCAGCTTGTGTTGACAAAAACCTAACCAGCACACATACTATCTAGCACTAGTTCATTCCTAGCTATTTCTTTTCCCTTCAAGTTGTGCAATAATTACTTTAATGCAAGGTTTTAAACCTTCTGCAAACACTGCATCCCTATGGGCTGCACTACCTTCAGAAACCTGTTCTACTCCCTGAACCACAGTGTCTCTACAAGTCTCTTGGAACAACTTCCCAGGGCAAAGCTGGACCTCCTAACTCGGAAGAGCCCATTTCCATTTGTGACAATTTGTCTGAACTTTTGATGGCAATGCAAGAGGAGCTGGACCAAATGACTGTGTAAGTGTTTCTTCTTTATTAAAATAACCATACATGTTTAGATACATCTTTTCTCGACTCTTCTAAGAGCAATATCACCTATAACTTCATTTCATTAAGATTTGTATTAGTTTAAAAAATGCTGTGTGAGAGTGGATATGTACACCCGGCACAGGTCTCACAGATTGCATAAGAGGAGCCAGATTCCTTGCAGCTGGACTGACAGAGGTTGTGCCTGACTCTGGTCCTCTGCAAGAGCAGCACACATTCTCTACCCTTCCGTGGTCTCTCTAGCGCCCACCTGGAAATTCTTAAGGCCTCTCTGGCTATTTGGACTTACTTTGTTTTGATCCACAAGCTTAACTATTTTTCACTGTATCTGCTGTAGTATTTAACCTTGTAACTGTGTTTAATTACTACTTTCCTTTATTCCAGAGATTTAGACTGACAAATAGGAATCAAATGTATGGAGCCTGAAGACTTTAGATTAGAACTCAGAAGAGCTTTTAGAAGGAAAATATGCTTTTCTTTTGAAATCTTTAAGTTATGTGGGTGATTTTATTAGGCAAGTAAGAATATCATTCCTTTTAGATTCTGCCTGATCTGCATTGCAAATTTGGAAGCATCCTCTGCACAGGAGTAATTGTCTTACAGCCCATGCTTAAATACATTTCAGCAAATACATCAGAACCACATGACCTGGCTGGCAGACTCGCTGAACTCATGAACTGCCACTACACTCACAACTGCTCTCTTGACAGTATCTCCAGTCCCAGACGTGTTTTGCTTCTGGCAAAGCCCTATCGAACTGTTCATTCTTTTTAGCTGAGAACACCAAGAATTTAGATTGTTGTTTCAGATTATTGAACAGCTAGATACTGTGATAGTTCTAAATGATTATGTTTACCATGATTAAGTTAGATATCCTAATGCTATGACTGTTTTTGAAGATTAATATTTTACTCTTAAGTAAAAGTCATAGTTGAGCAAAAAAATTACTTGTGACAGATGATCTATAACACTATTTGATGTTTGCTCTGTTTTCAATTATGCAAAAATAATCCATGTGTCATGTTAGATAATACTACTTCTGTGTTTTTATTTATTTGTTTGTTTATTTTTGTTTGTGTTATTAAGTATTGAACACAAGCTCTGACATGCAGAGAAGCACTCTCCGAGTTACATCCCCCCGCTGATGTTTGCTCTTCTCTACAGGGAGCACAAAGAACTACTGAAAGAAATGATGCAACCTGGAAGGTACTCTGATGACATAGAGCATGAACTGGAGCAATTAGCTAAGAAGATAGAAAGCAAAGGAGACCAGATTTCCAAACTCAAAAAGCATCAAGACAGTGTAAGAACACTTTACTTAAATAAACGCTGCTCTTCTGAGAACTACCCGTCTTCAGAACACAAAAACAATTGCCATACAATGTTGGAAAAAATAAAAAAGAACTGCTAGAAATATATGTGTAGTTGGAATTTTCTTTGGGCTGACAACTAGCTCCCGTATAAAGACATGGAGACTTATTCTTAATTATGAATGCTCAGCCTTAGCTTAGGCTTGTCCCACCAGCTGTTTTAACTTAATTGAACCTGTTACTATTCATCTATGTTTTACCTCAGGGCTTTTTCCCTTTCTTTCATTCTATATGTCCTACTTTCCTGCTTCCTCCGTGTCTGTTTTTCTGGCCCCTGGCATCTCTTTTTCTTTCTTCCCTGAACCTAAATTATTCCTCCTATTTACTTTCCTTGCCCGGAAGTCCCACCTGTACCTCCTCCCTCACTATTGGCCATTCAGCTTTTTATTAGACCAATCAGATGCCTTAGGCAGGCAAGGTAAAACAGCAACACATCTTTACATAATTAAACAAATGCAATACATCTCTACATAGTTAAACAAATATTCTGCAACATATATGTGGATTCAATGTCACATCTCTGTATGGCCTTCTAAATGGAAGTCTGTGGGTAAGGTGTTCTAAAAGACACAAAGGAGTCACTTGTTCCTCTTACAGAGAGCCATCACTGCTGTAATGACTTGGGCCTCCTTTTCAGTTCTTCAAGATAAGAGTGAAAGCAAACGAGATCGTGTGGAGTCAGACCTTGGGGAAACTGTATAGAAGGCTGTTGCCTTCGCATCTTTCCGGTCCCCCTTCCGGCATCCCTCTCTCTTGCCTTCCGTCCCACTGCTTTAGTGATGTCCTTTGTGCCCACAGAGACAGTAACACACAGAAACCTGGTACCACAACCCTGGAACCATTCTCTGCCTTCTCCTGGGCTGTAGTGTGTTCCCTGGGAACCTATGCTTAGCCACCTATAGCTAGTAGAACTCAGGTGTGGAGGACTTTGTACTTGTGTGTTAGCAACTAAGAATGGCATAGCCTTCAATATTTTAACAGAAGAATCATGAGTATAGTATTTTACAGTAAGACAATGACTCCATCCAGAGCTGAAGTTAAAACACTATGACTTCTGTTGCTGAAACAGAAGGGAGTCTTTCCAGGAAACCTCACAACCACATCATGTACTTCATACAGCTCTCTGCCTAGGGATGGTCAGCATCCAGGCAAGACGCTGGTATATCAACCCTCCATCCACACATGCTTCTGTAGGACAGTGATTTGTAAAATCTCTGAATATTACTCTATTCGTTATGCTTGTGGCCAAGAAAGAAAAATGTTATTTTCATTTTACACCCTTTTAAGACTATAACAAGTAAAAAACAAAAAATGTTATGATTGTGTTTGGGTAAAGATTATACAACTTGTACCCTTTCTTGGAATTGCATAGAAGAAACTTTGGATAGAACAATAATCACAATTTTAGAGTTACCCAATCTATGCATTTTAGAATTTGAATAAGTATTTCAATAAGCCTTTTATTGTGATAAATTTAATCTTTAATTTAAAATTGCCTCCTAAGCAAATAAACACTTGTTCCTAGCACCAATTCTTTACTTTGCTATTAGTATCATCTAAAAGAATTCCCGGTCTTGGAGCTCTAGTTCTGACCCGTAACCTTTTGCTCAACACCCGCACCCATTCGCTACTGTGACCTTCTTCTCACATGCACAGTCTTCCCTTCAGAGTTGTCCCAGCTCAAGCATTCTCTGTCCCTCATTCATTGGAGCAGTGAGCTTCCTGAAGGCAAGGCTGTTTTACGTGTTACTCGGCTGCTTGGCTATCAATGTCAGCTGTGGATCCGGTGGTCACTGAGTAACTTGCTGGATTGAACCTTTTGCCGTAATCTTTAAGCCACCAATCTAGTCATCTACTTTGGGGTATATTTATATTAATTTTTACCAAAAACATTAGATTTTCTTTTCTCTACAGGTCCGTAAGCTGCAGCAAAAAGTTCAGAACTCAAGGATAAATGAATCTTCATGTGTCCTTCAGGAACATGACAACCCTAAAGGACCAAAGAACATTAAAACTAGCTCCAGGAAGGGTTTGAATGAAACTAACCCTTTACAGAAAAACAGCAGCTTTCGTCCAGTACAAGTTCACAATCTGCAGGTGAAATTGAGGAGAGATGACATCAAGTGGGAGCAGTGACATTAGCAGAACTGTTGCCTTCAGTGAGCCTCACCAGTGAGACCTACAAGTCTGTGTAGAGTGTATATTCAATATAGCTGGGAAATTTTCAATTATGTTTGGGCTTCTGTGAAATGTGAAGTTGTGTATGTTTAGAATAATGGCTAATGACCTACCAAGAATCCCAGAATAATAAATGGCTGATTTTTGTTGTTGCTGTTATCCAAAGGCCCCTGCCCTCATCAAGTGCTAGAAGCATTCATTTTGCAGCTCCCTAAGGTCAATCTAAGAAGGGGGCTGAATGGCCACTCATTAAGATCTAGTTAAACCTGAACTCCGAGTGCCATTCCACAGGTTCACTTAGGTAGGCTGCTACCTGCAGATCACCACGGAGTGAACAGAGTGCTGTGACTTCCCTGAGATTGCCACTGTACCTCGTTTTAAGTCTCAGCAGTGTTCGTGTTTTGTTTGGAGAGGGAAAAACACAATCATTCTGCATTTTGTTGAAATGCCTGTGCTGAGCTTTGCTGTGACAGCTGTGAGAAGCAATGCATAACTGATGACATCTTCAAGACACTGATTCTCCTCTGCTTTTCCAAGCCTGCTTTCCTTTTAAACACCAGGACCTGGGTTCATCCTACTCTTCTGTAACTTTTCCTGGTTTCTTGTTTGTGTTATATGTCATTTTCTTTAGTATATGACAATGTACACGACCAAGAAAAAATGGGATTTCCTAAGAAGTTAGGCATTTAATCAACCTTATCCACAAGAGAAAATGAATTCAGTAAATGTGCTATCTTTTTATACTTCAGAATCAGTGATGTCACAATGGATTTCTTTGTTGTATACATATTTTATAATAAATTGACACTTTTTGCCTTTCTAGAAGCCTATGGAATTAAGTATGGAATTAATGTCTTTGGGACACTTACATTTTTATCTTCTGGGACAATTAAAAAACTGATGTCATCAACTGAAATAGAAATGGAAACCAGACAAAAAAACTACAGTAAAGGGAAGAGCTTGGGATTAGGGAGGAGGTGTAAGAAATGGGCCAATTTCAAAGGGTCAATAGAGTGTTCATGTTCCTGAATTCCCAGTGGATGGGGACTATGCAGTTTGGGTATGTAAGCCCAAAGAGCTGCTTCAAAACAAAACAAAACATCCTAGCCTCACAGAGATCAACTTGCCTCCACCTCCCAAGTGCTGGGTTGGTGTTAAAGGACTGCATTGTCACCACCCAGCTTTCATTTTTTGAGACAGTAGGCCAGGCTGGCCCTGAACTCACTATGAAGTTATTGGTGTTGAACCGGCCAGTCCTCCTGTCTATACTTCCCGCATTTGCAGCCATTCCTGGCCATAAAAGGCAGTTTATTTATTTTACCTATATATTTGAGTATAAGTAGCCCTGGCTGGCCTGGATCTTACAGACATCTGCCTGCCTCTGCCTCCTGAGATCTGGGATTAAAGGAATGTGTCACCATGCCCCACTTAAGGAAAGCAATTTTTAAGGACAATCTATTTTCCTAGGAAGCCTGCATCAGAAGGTGTGTATAAGAGAAATAGGGTAACTCTGGACCTTCTGGGGAAGAGGAAAACTGACTCATTTGTTTTATAAGTGCCCAGTTAGAAGACCCATCCATGGGTAGTTTGCTGTAGGGATTGCATTGAGAACCTTTGGAGCAGAATCTCTGCTTCTTGCAGTGCGCCTACTGTAATTTGTCAGCATCTTGGCCTGGAAATGTCCATAGTGGATTCTGCCCAAACTCCATCCTGTAGCTCAACTTCACCTTTCCTCCTCAAGACTATGAGCTCTGTCATTTCAATTTAGAAAGAAGAAAAAACAAAAACAAAAACAAAAACAAAAAAACAACCAGGGCCATAGCCCTTTAATTTCCCTGCTTGTTTCCTGAGAACTTAGGGAAGGGCTGAACATTCTTCATTTACTAATAGCATCATTTTGCATAGAAACATAGGATTTTGACTCAGTGGTAAAGGTTTGGCCTGGGCTCAGCTCCTAGCATGGAATAAGATTAAAAAATATATTGCTAAAACAAATTACCATGTAAAAATTTTAGCCATTTAGAAATACTTGACTATCTCAAATAAGAATTGAGAACTGTCTCATAAGTATAACATGGTAGAGAAACACTTAGGATATCAGAGTGAAAAGGCTTGGTTTAAAATCAGTCTCCACTGTTGAAGTCTGTATAAGCCAGGGGTTCCGTAGTACCTCCACTTTCCCTGTACATGGGTCCTACCAATCCTGCCTCATTAGGTTGCTATGGGAACTACAGCATCCAGCAGAGGTTTGGCATTTAGGGAAAACTAAATCAGCTGTTCTCAACCTGTGGGTTGTGACCCCTTTTGGGGGATCAAGTGACCTTGCTATAAGGGATCACGTAAGACCATCAGAAAACACATATTTACATTATGATTCATAAAAGTAGCAAAATTACAGTTATGAAGTAGCAATGAAAATAATTTTATGTTCGGGGGTCACCACAACATGAGAAACTGTATTAAAGGGTCACAGTATTAGAAAAGTTGAGAATCTCTGGTCTAAATGCTTTTGTATCTGAACAGAAAAGAAAAAGTAAAACACAAGTTTAAATGGCTTGAAATCTAAAAGCGAAATCATGGACATATTCTTAGTAACTGAGTTGGAGTGTTCTAATTGGGTTGCCACCTTCTCTGTGGAAGTAACTTTGGCTTGCCTCCTACCCTAGGTTCATACAGGGAGGAAGTAAAGCATACAGTCAGGCGCCATGGTGCAAAAATAACACAGTCATACCACATGTTACTCTGGGTTTGTTTTGGTTGTTGAGGTGACATTTAATTACTAAGAAACGGTAAAGAATGCTTTTGTCACTCCACCATAACTACTGAAGGAAAACAAATTTTCACAGTCTACCTGCTTGCCACGGCTACTGACTCTGGTAGCATTCTTCCCTTAGATGGGACATTCCTTGGGCAGTATTGGAGTTGCTGGGGCAGCTTCCTTGCTGAAACATGGAATGATTTCATTAATTTTTTCACTTCACTGAAAAAGAATTGTTTGGGTTCTATTCAACTAGAAATTGAAAAAAAGGGGGAACTGGAACTTTCCAGCCAAGGCAGGTCTCAACTCTCATGGAACTGTGGACCCAGAAGCATCCAGTGTTGGAGCAGCAGGTATTGTGAGTCTCCTAATACTGGGGGGAGTTGGGATTCGGAACGAACTGTACTGGAGCAGGTCACTGGCAACGTGACAGTTTCAACTGGTTATACTGGAGGGAAATCAGCTTTGTGTGGTGTAAGGTAAAGTGAGAGACACTTAGCACAGTAGGTTGTCCGAGGTGGTGTATTTGAAAATCATTTGGGGTTCCAGAATGGGAATGGAACACGGGCTCACACATGACTTGCAAGTGCTCTGGCATTGGGCCCCAGCCCCAGCTCTAAACATTATTTTAAAGATTTTGTTATAGCCGTTTCACTTTAAAAGTATAGCTTTAACTATAACATAGGTTTTGGTTTGTTTTGATTGAGTCAGGGTCTTGATGGATAGCCCAAGCTGACCTTGAATCCATGATCCTCCTGCCTCAGCTTCCTGGGTCCTATGATTAAAAATGTGTGCCATCATGGCCAGTTTATAAAGTAGTATTTTAAAGCCATAACAACCTGTCAAAAAATTACATACAAATTTGATTTTTCAAAAATATGTATTATTTTAGTTATGTCTATGTGGGTGCTGTTTGTGGGTTGCATGAGTTCAAATGCCCACAGAGGCCCGAGGGTCCAATCTGGAACTGGAGGTACAGCTTGATGAGGGTGTTGGGGGCCTCACTCATGTCCTCCAGAAGAGCAATACAAGCTCTTTACACACAAGTCATCTCTCCAGCCCTCTATATATGTGACTTTAAATGTTGTGAGCAGTCTATCAGGGCCAGGCTGGTTTGTTCTGTGCAACATAATGGATGTCACAGCCAAAGACCCACGGGCTGGCTGATCCATGGGCTGGTGTTATTGGTGTGAAGTAAATAATTCCTAGGTGTTTACAAACTTCTCTGTGCATAGACAGTGGGCAATGCAGTGCTAAAGGGCTAACTGACCATTTTAATTGCCTATGACATTCAGTGTTTCTTTCACCAAACAGAAATTCAGTGAGTCTGTATAAGGAGGCCACACCCAATAGCCTGTGAAGGAAAATGAAATCTAACACTGTGGAAAGAAACTTTAGGCCAGATTTTGTTTGTTTGTTTCTCTAGGCTGGCCCCAAATTTGGAGTATTCTTGCCTCTACGTGTGTAGTGCTGGGATTATAGGCGTGCACTGCCATAGTTGATTGAAGCAGAATTCTTGACCACACTCTGCCTAGACTACTATGGATTTTGCTTGTCTAATGTTTCTTCATTCTTAGTGTCTCAGTTTAAAAGCTTCCCTATTCTCACCTCATCTCACTGCTTCCAAAATCTGGTCTTCTGGGCATTTCCCCTACCTTTGTACCCAGTGTGTGTGTGTGTGTGTGTGTGTGTGTGTGTGTGTGTGTGTGTGTGTGAGAGAGAGAGAGAGAGAGAGAGAGAGAGAGAGAGACAAAATGTCATGAGCCCAGGCTAGCCTTAAACTCACTGAGTAGATTATTTTTGTCTTTCCCATAGGCTGAGCGCTCTGAGGACAAAGTTCTGCTCACCTCGTAGCATCCAGCACAGTGTTTGGCCCAAAAGTGGCATCTCATTAAGTGTTTGATAATTGCGTTTGTTGCATAAAAACTGTAGGAGGCTACTGCTCTGGGCTGAGCTCCTGCCCAGGGTCCCAGCAGACCAGGCTAAAAGTTACTCTGGCCAAAGGCAACCAATCAAGACTAAGTTATTTAGCTTTTCAGAAATAAAAGGTAACAATATGAGGTAATTCCCCCAATAGGAAAATTTTAATAGGCCTAATAATGAGGTTTCCTCTGTTTTAGTCTTTGCAAAAACAAATTACTTGAAATAACCTATGGTATTTTTGTCTCCTCACATAGATAGTAGGTTTTTGGGGTTTATTGTTGTTGTTTAATTTTATGTGTATGGGTATTTTGCCTGCATGTATGTCTGTGTACTATGTAAGTACAGTGTCCGCAGGGCCCAGAAGAGGACATTGGACTCTCTGGAACTGGAGTTAAACAGTCATGAGCTGACATGTGAGTACTGAGAATTAAGTTGGGGTCCTCTGGAAAAGCAGCCTTAACCACTGAGACATCTCTCCAGCCCCCAGGTTTTTGTCTTGTTTTTATGGTTCTGGGAACTGAGGTCTGGGCCTCACACATACCACCAGGCAAGCACTATAGTATAGAAATGTTCTCCCACCCACCTCAAGGAAATTAGCCTTAAAATAACAAATCCACTTTTTGTTCTTTATCCTTTTTGCAGCCTTTGCTGAGTATAAAACTAACTTCACTCTGTAGCCTATTAGAGCACCTATTTAATGCAGTGTTGCTCAATTCAAGAATCACAAACCCGGTTAAGATCTTGAAACTAAATGGGTTACAGTTCAAGAACCTGTGTTAACTTTATTAGAGTTCTTATCTGAGTTCTGGGCTGGGTCCTGGGTTTCAGGCACCAAGTCAGCTGTTCTGCTCAAGTTCTTTCAAGAACTGGAGGCCTATTTTTATAGACACTGGGAAAGAGGAGCCCAGCATTGTCTGCACGGGGCAGGGCTGGAATGGCTTACCCAGCCAGTGGGCCCTTGGAAGGATGCTTCCTTTAATGCCCTGATGCCACTGTGAAGACGAGACTTGGGAGCTAAGGGTCTTTAATTGGGTATTGCTATATTTGACTTGTTCATTTAATAAATACTATTGTCTAATAAACATTTATGTCAAGGTATTAGAGTCAAGGGAGATTGAAGAACAGCAATTCTGACAGGTGAGATAAGGGACACTGTAAATATAATAAAGAGAAGGGAACAGAAGATGACATAAAGGCTATGACCACTCTAGATACTCCCAACATTACGTGCCTGCTCAGCGTTTGTTCTTTTTCCTAGATGGATACTTTGGGCTTTGCCTGTTTGTGATGTCTTCCTTCTCCATCTTACTCTGTCATTTTCACCTGCTCTTTTCCTGGTAGCAGTATCTGTCTACCTCTTCCTGGGCTTGTTGATCGATGGTACTGGCTTTTTTAGGATTTCAAACACATGTCCACAGCCAGTCCTTTAGCAGTATCATATTCAGAAGCAAGAAGACCAGGTATCGAGGTGTGAAACACTGAAGAGTGTTTTGGGGAGAGAAGTCATGACTTAGATAAAAACTGAAAAATAATATATACATAGAAAAGACATGTTCCAAAGGCCACTTGGTGACTGGCACACAATTATGCAAATGGTTTACAACTTTTCTTATTAATTTAAGCCACACTGAGTGGCTTTTCACTTCCTCACCTTTTACTTCACTGATTGGATCAGGTCTGTTTTTTAAAACTATAGATCATTTCCTGCTGGTGGCTTAGCAACGTAGTGAGTCACAGCCGGCCCCTGTTATATGTATGGTACAGACATCAGCAGTGCCACGGTGCTTCAGCCATGGTGAAGGTGGATAATGGTCTCAAAATTCTAGTGAGGTATAGTTTTTAATTTTCTCGTGGTGCTGCAGACCAAATCTTGGGCCTTGGACATGCTAAACACGGGCCTTATCCCTGAGCTTTTTCAATGTAGATGAATGTAGCTCAGAATATCTGGAGATCTTTATAAACATTCAGAGAGAATGTGTTTGAAAGCTGTTGTGGAGAATGTGAGTTGGCCAGTTCAGAGTAGAAATGCTTCCAGATTCCTTCTACAGCTGGGGTAGTCTACTGGCTACACGTGCTAATATGAATCTGTTTGGTGTGTTTTACAGATGGAAGCCCATTTAAACAAAACCCCTGGGTTTCCTGGCTTACATAATGTGATTTCCAAACACTGGCTGACCTACATCAGAGAAAGACTGCTTTTCTGATGTAGGCAAATAAATAAATTAATGAAATCATTTGCCAAGTGACCTCATTACTCCACCCCACTGTGGACTCAGAGGGCCTGGAGATAGGGAAGAAATGTGTTCTGCCGGTGCTGTGGTCTGTTTTATAATCTGTAGAGAGATGAGACTCATAGTTCGCATGTCTGCAATCTGAACCCAGCAAAGATTTGCCTTTGGCAAACCCCATTTGTCTTGGTAACAATAGTTAGCAGGCCATAAAAAGTATGCCTGCAAAAGCAACAATGTAGCAACCCTGATAAGCAAGACAGTTTGCTGTTCTCAATTTTACAATGGGTTAGTAGAAAAGATAAGTAGCTTGCCTCAAAAATAGCTTTGTGAAGTAACTCCCAAGAGGGAACATGAATTTCTGTGACTTTTAATTCTCCATTTTAATTCTGTAGCTGTTCTGTTCTCCAGATTTTTCTGTGGTCACATCAATATTGTTCTGAAGAACTGCTGTAGAGAAGTGAGCAAAAGAATGATACTCATTGCAGTTGTACGCACTTAGAAGCAGTTAGTTGTGCTAACGTTGCTTAAACCGTTATGGATAGGGATCTGAGCTGTCAGTGTGGCTCAACAGGTAAAGGTGCTTGCCACTGAGCCTAATGACCTGAGTTCAGCCCCTGGAGTGTGCATGGTAGCACGAGAGCCACGCCCAGCCTGTTGTCCTCTGACCTCCACTCACGCACTGCGGTACACACACACACCTCCGTGCACACTTCACAAACACAAACACAAAATAAGTGTTTTTAAGAGATCTTAGTGTGGATGAGAAAAGGGTTGTAAAGTAGGATGGACCTTCCAGTGATAATAAAATAAGGTACTCTTGAGGAGACTACTTACTCTGATTCCATGAGCTTGGGCTCTGGGAAACTTTAAAAGTGTTGCCCTCATTTGTTTCTTATTGGTTTCCTTAAAGTTGCATGTACAGTGAGTTGTAGGGCACTTCTTGGAAAAACCTATTACTGAGCTAGTACAGAATGTGAACCATTCCTTGCCTGAAATACAGGACCGCTGTTTACAGGGCAGTTATCCAAAACAGTCCTGGCTGGCTTGAAGCATTTCACTTTTCAGCACTGTGTTACTTAAAACATAAACCATTTTTGGCACACAGGAAACCCACTTAAAGTTCAAGTTTAAAATTCTCCCGAGAATCCTACAGAACATTTATGGTTTTGTGACTTATTGTTTCTAGCAAAAGTATCTTTACTGCCTTAAAATATTTTCAGAGATATGTTATATGCAGAAGACTATAAATGTTTTACATGCTGAAATGTCGGAATGTGTGAAAAGCAGATTTGCCTTTGGTTTTCCCAGAAATTAGCCAAGCTACAAATGAAGAATGGAGAAATTCTGTGTGGAGTGGGAAGTTCTTCCTGGAGACATCTGCTGCTTCCCGAATCTCCAAGCACTCCTCTTTTCAGCTGGATTCCGTTCTTATGCGTATAGCTTCTGCTCGATGAACCTGAGAGCATTTATCAAATTAAAAATAAAAGTAGAAAAAAAAAAGACTTACCAAAGCCACCAAATGTATTATTTTCTTCACAGTAGAAAACAATTCTAATAATTGCCATACGGGAAAAGTCATTGAGAACCTTCAGACATCAGCATTGCTCAGATTGGGGGTGCAGTGCTTCAAGAAGTTTGTAGGGGCAACTGGGGGTGTCAGTCACCTGGAGAATGAATTGGCCATGGTGACTTCTTGTAGCTGTTTTGTATCAGTAGTTCATTTCCGGTGATCCCCGAGGTGGTCTTCCGGTTTAGTGGTTTCCTATCAGGACTCCAGGAACCCGGGAAGTTTTGGCGCTCCTAGTTACAGTGTATTAGAGGGAAAGAATACAGAGTAAAATCAGCAACTGATAAGGCACACGAGGGACCTAGCATGGTGGTGAATGTGTGTAAACCCAGTTCTCTGGAGGCTGAGGCAGGAAGAGTTCGAGGTCAGCCAAGGCTACCTAAGAAAACCTGTCTCATCCTCCCACCCTCTCAAAGTCACATAAGCCAGAGACTGGACTGCAGACCCAAGCTTCTAGGTTGTTTTTTGGCTTATTTGCCCTCTCCCCTTCAGTGAAGTCACACGAAAAGCCTTTCATTTACCCAGCAGTATTTGTGATACTGTTCTCTTTCACATCAGTCACATGGGCATGGCAGGCAGCCTGTGTAGCTGACCTTCAGCATCCCCCTCCTCCAGCAGTCAAGCCGCTAAAACCCATGTCCTCACTAAAAGTCATATTGTTATCTTAAGCTATCTGCCATAAGCAAAGGCCACAGGTAGACAGGTAGACAGAAACACTCTTATCAAGCAGGGAACTCCAAGAACTGAAAAGTCACCTTCCAGGAGCTGGAAGGGCTGAGTCTTAGTTTAGAATGTGGCCAGTTACAATGAAGCCCTGCTCTGCTGATCACCACAGCCCTGTGGTTTCCTAACCCTGGATAGGATGGCCATGGGTGCTGTCACCACCTCTCCAGATTTCCTACTGCACAGATTAACCATCTTTCCTGGGCTATTTTCTTGGTTCGGTTCTGTCTTGGGTTTCTATAGCTGTGATAACAACACCAAGACCTGCAACGTAGGCAGGAGAGGGTTGTAGTTCAGTGTTCAGGGAAGTCAGGGAAGGAACCCAGAGGCAGAGGGCATGGAGGGGTGCTGCTTACTGCCTTGCTCCTGGTGGCTGGCTCAGGCTGCTTTCTTAGACACCCCCAGGAACACCTGCTCAGGGGTGAGGTAGGCCCCCATCCATCAAACACTAATCAAGAAAATGCACCACAATCTGGTTGGGGGTCGAGATGAGGACTTCTCAACAGATGCTGTCTCTTCTCAAATCACTTTAGCCTATGTCATAAGACTAGCCAGCATAGGAGCATTACTTTAATGCTTAGTTCTATTATGTAATTATGATAAAAATTGATGCTTACTATACAAAGGAATTTGGTGTAGGTCTGGTTTACAAAACTACAGTCATCTGATACTGAAGTTTAAAGGCAGGTTTGGTTGTTGTGTGAAGTAAAGCCGTAAGGTTGTTGTTACATGTAAGAACCATTCCACCCTCCTCTGCCAGTTGCCTGGGCTGGGCTGTGTGAGAATGGGCTTGTCCCACCTACACTGAGGAGATCTGTGGCAGCGGTCAAGATCAGAAAGGGAGCAGATTCTTCTGACTCTACTGAAACAGCTCGGGGCCATGGTGAGTAAAGGCACTTAGTGAAGGCACTGATATCTAGTTTAGTACAGTGGCTACTTGGTTCCAATGTGCTCCCAGAGATCACATGCTGGAGATGTGGTCCCCATGCAGCAATGGCCAGGAGTAGGTCATGAGGACTCTGCGTCATGCTTTGTTTAATGCCGTCACCCTAGGACAGCTCGTCATCTCAGAAGTGAGATCTTTAGAAAAGGTTAAGGCCCCTCCATCTCCTTTTTCTCCCTACCCCTGCTTTTTTCTCCCTCCTTCCCCCCTCCTTTTTCTTTTCCCCTCCCCCCTCCTCCATCTCCTCCTTCCTCTCCCTCTCCCCTCCTCTCCCTCTCTTCCTCTCTCTCCCTTTCCCTTCCTCCCCCCTTCTTCCTCCCCTTTCTCTCCTCCTCCTTTACTCTCTTGTCTTGCCCTCTCCCTTTTGCCATGTGATAACAAGAGGGCCTTGTCAGGGGTTGGTGCCTGGATCTGGGCTCCTTTGCCTTCTGAGTTGTAAACAAATAGACATCTGCTCTTCATGACTTCCCCAGCCCTCAATAACCTACAGTAGCAGTGCACACACATACACTGCAGCATTTAGCTGATGTCGGACTAGAGTCACTTCAGATTAGTTTCTAAATAATTTCTGACTGTGGGACACACTTTTTAAAAGACATCTTGCTTGGGAGACAGAGGCAGGAGGATTAGGAGCTCAAAGTCATCCTCACATACATAGTAAGTTCAAAATAAGCCTGGGCTTTGTGAGAGGCAGGCAGATCTCTGAATTCAAGACCAGCCTGGTCTATGGAAAGTTCCAGGACAGCCAGGGCTTCAAAGAAAAATCCTGTTTTGAAAAACAAGCAATACCAGATATGTTTACTTTGAAGGATAATTTGTAAGTAATTCCAAGTTTTCAAAGGACTGCCTCATAAAAATACAAAGAGTTTATCGACTTCATCAGCTTTGTTCATGGCAGAAAAGATCATCTCACATGCTTGCCATCACAGTGGAAGGTCACCACAGGCCTTCCTGTCACATTGCCAGCACTGGCAATAAAGGTGTTTTGCATTGACAAAGCTTAAGGTTCCGTTTTTTTTAAATTTAAGAATTTTTATTTCTAAATACATTTTATTGTTTCAAACTTTGTTTTTAAAACTTAAATCAGTTCATTGTCAATTTCATCAGTGTATACAGTACATTCTGATTGTTTTCCTTACCCCCACTCCTGTCTCTTACCTAAGCAGCCCCTTTCCCCCACCAGTCTCTCTTCTAGATCCAGGACTTTTGGCAGGGTCATCGTGTGACTTTGTATTGGGACTATCCACGGAGTCTGTGTCACCAGGGGGTATACAACTAAAGGCAATGACTGCCCCTGCCCCTGACTCTGTCTGTGTGGGGTAGGACTCTCTAGGCTCTTCCTCTGTATGTGTCTGTCTGTTGAAGGGACCATTGTGTGCGTGCATGCGTGCGCACACACCCAGTCATCCACAGTTGTTGAGATACTATGGTTGTAATGGCTGTGCATTGCCAAAAGATGGCATTTCATAGCCCCCTTCCCTATCATTAAACTCTTGTGTTCTTTCTACCTCATCTTGTGCAGTGCTCCCTGAGCCTTGGAGGGGATGGTAGAAATGTCTGTTTAGGGATGAGCCCCCTCAGCTGGCACTCACTCTCAGCTTTGTTCTATTGGGTTTCCTTGTTTCGATGAACACGAATGACAGAAGTCTGCTTTAGTTTGCTGTGCTTTCTGTCTGACCATGGGGGACATGCTGCTCACTGAGCAGGGCTGAACAAATGCCGGAGAGAGCTGTTTTTTGTTTTTTTGTTTTTTTGGTTTTTTTTTTTTTTTGCGGTGGGGGGGGCATACTATTGTGGAGGGCCAACAAGAGACTGAAAAGCAAACTTCCTTGAAGGAAAACTGTCGTCTTTTATGGAAGACCTATTAGGGAGACATTCTGACAGGATAATTATAACAGCAATGGCAACAGAGAATTAAAGAAAAAAGTTTTGATAGAAAAAGATTTCTTTCTGACCACAGCACTTCAGGAAGAAATAAAACCACAGGCAGAATTCAACAGCTTGTAGATGCCTACAATATGAAGAAGACTGGGGTTCATTCACCCCAACCCTTTGGTGAGCTACCTCACTAGAGAGGAGATCTGTTCACCAGCATTTTTTCAAACTCCAGCACTTTCCATTGGTGAGTGTGGAACTTTTTTGTAATGAACTAGAGTAGAAACGTCTCAGAGTGCAGAGCCAGCAATGGCAAGCGTCTTCCCTTGGGGTGGGATTTTCACACGGAAGCAACAAAGACCGGAAGGTTTGAGGTTCTAGAAACAGAAGGTCTGTTCATGGCCAGAGATGTTTGCTGCCTTACCCATTTCTGATTTGGTCTTGGTGGTGTTTTTGGTCTAGAACCCAAACATGACAAAGAGGAGTCAAAGAAGATTCTTAAAGAGCATTGTTCAAGAAAATGAACAGCAAATTTGCATCTGAAGTCTGAAAACCAGGCATGATGGCTCATGCCTGCAATCCCAGAATTTGGGAGACTGAGGCAGGAGGATTGCCACAAGTTTGAGGCCAGCCTATCCTATAGTCTTGGATTTTTTAAAAATATACATTGACTTTGTGCTGAATGAGGAGGTATATGAGGGGACTGGGGGTAAAACCAGCAGTATTGTAATTCTGTTAGGAAAACCTGCTATAGGGAGCACAGGGCAGCTCTCTTCCTCAAGTGCTCACCAGACTCTGAAATGACAGAGTCTGAAAACCATTAAGTTCAAAGTCGTGGAAAGACAGAAGCTCAAAGAGGAGAGAAAAAGCCGAGCTTTCAGTCAAGAGCCTCGGGAAGCTGTGCTTGAGAAGAAAGCAATGGTACAAAGGCGCTGAGAGGACATGGCGCTCCTGGGAGGACAAAGCTACGGGGAAACATTTGGAAAGCTTTCCTCTCAAGACACTGGCCAGATTTTTGAAGCTGCATGACTCAAGAGGCCAAAGAGCCAAACTACAATATCTAAAGGAAGAACTAAATGTGTGTGTGTGTGTGTGTGTGTGTGTGTGTGTGTGTGTGTGTGTGTACATACTCACATGCAGGGGGTGATGCATGGATGTGGTAGGTGTTGACCCAAGGCTGACATCAGACTCTATTGACCTGTATTGTTCTCCATCTTACTTATTGAAAAAGCTTCTCTCAACGGCACCCAGAACTTGCTGATGCAACTAATTTGGCTAGCTAGCTTGCTCTAGGCTGGAATAGCAGGCTGCCACGCCTTCCCAGCATTTATGTGGGTGCTGGGGATCCTGAATTCAGGTCCTCATGTGTGCACAGCAGGCCCTTGATTCAAAGCTTATGTGATTCAACTAAAGCCGGGCTTAGAGGGAAACACACAGTGATCAATGCATTATCTTATACATTAAGGGCTGGCAATGCAGCTCGTTGGTGAAGCACTTGCCAAGTGTGGCTGAAGTCCTGGGATAGACCCCAGCACTGGGGAGGAAAGATGGATACCATAAAACAGGTGATAGCTCAAGAGCTGGAAAAACAGAAGGAAATTAAATCTGAAACCTAAAAGTAATAATAAGTGATGAGCTAAAATCAACCAAAGTCACAAATGACCTTAAAAAACCAATCAACATAAATATCAGTCCTTTAAAAACATGAATGAAATTGATGCATTCCCAAGACAGATTGAGACAAAAGCAAATAGAGAAATATCTGCATTCTTCAGCCATGACAGCGTTGAGGCTTTAAAATGTCAAGAAAGAGAAAAGTGGCCCATAGGATGAATGAAATATTTGTAAGGTATATCTGGTGACTGACACATATATAGAAGGTATAAACAAGTTGGGTGTGGTGACACATATGTATAATCCCCAAACCTGGGAGGTGAAGGCAGGAAGGTCAGGAATTCAGGGCTAGCCCCTGCTACATGGGGATTTTGAGGCTGGCCTGGGATACACAAGATTCTGACTCGAGGAATGTTTTAAAAGGAACAATTACAAGTCACAAGAGGAAAAGGGGAGGAGGAACTAGGATCATCACTGAACTCAATAAAAAGATACTCAACATCAGTGACCACGGGGCCTTGCAAATGGAAATCACATCACTTCATACCTCACGTGGCAGCTTAAGCCAAAAGTAACAGGTTTGGGCAAGGCTGCAGAGGAGCTGGACCCTGAACCTTACAACAGGGACCTACAATCAGGCTGCCACTTTGGAAAACATCTGGCAACTGCTTCCAAAGTTCAAACAGTTAACATTTGACGCAGCAACTCCACTCCTGCATATGTATGCCAGGGGACTGAAAACCTTTGTACACAAATAACTGAACCTTCAGACCAGTGTTTAGAATAGCCCAGAGTGGAAACAGCTCAGGATCCCGTCAGCCAGTGAGCCGGTGAAATGCTGTGTAGGCATACAACAGAATGCTACTCAGACATTGGAAAGGAATGAAGTACTGGCATGCTGTACATTCCTGTGATCTCGGCTCTGGGAGGCTGAGGCAGGAGGATGGAGAAGTCAAGTCCAACCAGTGCTATATAGCAAGACCTTGTCTCAAAAACAAACGAAAGAGGAGTCATGTGTCAGTACATGTTATAACATGGATGAAAAACATTATGCTAAATCAAAGAAGCCAACCACAAAAGACCACATGTTTGTGATTTCCTTTATATGAAATGCCCATTTGGGCAAACAAATGTTGGTGACAGAAAGTGGGTTGGTGAAAAAAAAGAAAAAAGAAAGAAAGTGGGTTGGTGGAAACCTTCTGCTGAGAGGGAATGGCTTAGAGAATTGAGACAGCTGTTAATTAGAACACTTTGCTTTTGGGGTGGTGAGGTGAGAAGCTCTGAAGTCTTTCATGGTAATGCTGTATGACTGGAGACACTAAGACCATTGACTGAACATTCGATTCGGGATTAATTGTATGTGGTGGAAAGTACATCTCCACTAAACTGTTCAAAATATGGATATCCTCCAAAATTTACTTATGTGTTTCAGGTATGAAATGATCTTTAAAAAAGGTTATTAAAATAGGCACAAAATGAAATAGGCAATATGAATTGTCACATACATAATCTTTTTTTTTGTTGTTGTTTTTTTCGAGACAGGGTTTCTCTGTGGCTTTGGAGGCTGTCCTACTAGCTCTTGTAGACCAGTCTGGTCTCAAACTCACAGAGATCCACCTGCCTCTGCCTCCCGGCACATACATAATCTCTTAAATATATTTATTTGTATTATCATTGTGTTTATGTATGATTGTGTATATGTGTGGGGTGTGTGTGGGGTGTGTGTGTGTGTGTGTGTGTGTGTGTGTGTGTGTGTGTGTGTGTGTGTGGACACATGAGGCCAGAGGACAACGTTCAGGAGTTGGTTCTTTCCATCTGCCATGGCATGTGGGGATTGAAATTCAGCATCAGGTTCCACAGTGCTTTTACTTGCTGAATCAGCTCACCAGCTCTCCTATGTAGCTTTTAAGACACTAAATCTGGAGGGGCTAGAGAGACGGCTCAGTAGTCAACACTACTGTGTGTTCTTTCAAAGGACCAGAGTTGGGTTCCCAGCACCCACATTATGGCTCCCACCTGTCTGTAACTCCAGTTCCAGGAATTTGGTGCGCTTATCTGGCTTCTTGGGCACTGCATGCATATGGTGCACATTAATACATTCAGGCAGAACTCCCATATGAGCAAAGTAAAAATAAACATGAATACATCTCACAAAATAAACCATATCTGTACTTGAAACCCTTCCTATGAGAAAAACTTAAGGTTAAATGTTTTAAAGTGAATTAATTGTTCCGAAATTGAATAAGGAACTAATACAGCCGTATGTTTTGTTTTTAGAATCCAGAGAACACTTGATGACTTGTTTCAGGAAGCCATCAGGGTTCAGATCTCAGGATGTAACAAAACCTTTATGACACACTGCAGACCAGTTCCACTAGTGACTATGAATACAGAAATCCTAAACGACATGTCTATCAGCCGTCCATCACTGGGACAAAGTTCAGATGATCAACCTATAAGGAAGAAGCACTTCTTAGTTCATGATTTCAGAGTTTTGTAATTCTGGTTCTGGCCCCACTGCTGTGGCATGTGGGAGGCAGATGGTGGTCGGTCGGGGCACATGGGAGAGGTAGAGGAGACTGCTTGCCTCCAGGCAGCTGGGAAACAGAGGAACTGAGCACTCTCCTAGTACATCCTGCAAGAGCACACCTTGCAGTGGCCTCCTTCCTCCCCTCCTACTAAAGTTCCCACCAGCCTCTCAGCACTTGAATTGGGGATACATTTCAGATCCAAACCATAACAACATAGCAGGAATGCTACTGAAGAAACTCAAGGGACTCACTTTCATGCAACTCAGTGAGGTCCTGCTGCTTGCCTGCCATACAGCAGGTGCTTCATATGTGTTACCCATTCTCTCCTCCGCCCCCCCCCCCACCGAACATACAGCTGTTTGTCTAAGTCTGTTTAAAGCTAGCACAAGTGCTCAGCAGCTGTGGCTTCCCCTGAGCTGCATCCATGTCACAGACGGTTGTCAGGCAATCCCTCTTTATGTCGGCTTTCTGAATACTGTACTTGACCATGAAGATAGTAAACAACACAGGCTTAAATGTTCTCCTTGTGGAGCTGTGAAGTGTTGAAAGTAAGCAGGAAGTGAAAGCAGAAAGCCAGTCCTCTGGGCTGGACCAGCCTTCTCCCTCGTGGCTGCTGCTGGAATGCAGCTGTTAGGGCAGCTGTTAGTCTGTCTGCCCCTACTGGAAAAGATACTGCCAAAGAGTGCCAAATCTTCTCCAGGAGAACGTTTGACTTTGCTGAGAACAGTAACAGTGCATGTTATTAGGCTCCGACAGTGTGCCAAACATGGTAATTGTATGACACAGCAATAATCTAGGCTGGAATGGATACTCATTCCACTTTTAATATTTATACAAAGAATAAGCAGGCTCCCCAAGAAAGGCTCTGCACAGAACATCACCATAGCTTCATTATTTGTTGAAATGATAACAGAGTTGGCTTAGAAAATATATATGAAAGGAATCCAGAGATACAGCCCAGCGCAGCACCACTCTCCTGTAATCCCAGCTCTTCGGAGGCTGAAGCAGGAGGATGGGGAGTTTGAGGCTAGCCTGGGCTACATAGTAAGATCCTGTCTGAAAGGAGAAGTGGGGAAAGAGGGAGGAAAGGATAAAGGAAGCAGGAACTTGCAAATGCCAAAAGGGAAAAAAGTTGAAACGTTTTCAGTCTCTGTAATGTGGCATCACTCCTTGTCCAGGACAGATGTAGACAGCCGAAACAATCAACGAACCCCTGCAATGTTTAGGTCCCAGGACTCATGGATCACAGTGTCAACTTGTATTTTTAATTATCAATACTAAAGGCTTAACAAACAATTATGTTGAATTTGGCAGATAAGGGTGGGATGGGAAACATTAAAGATTTTTACTCAGTGGTAAAACTGGAATGTCGATGGGAGGCAAGCAAAACTAAAAATACATTTTACTGAATGAGTATAATTTTCTTCCAAGCCCAAATGTACAAGGGTCACCATCAAGCTGAGATTCTCCATCCCTGGGATATCTTCCAGAGGCAGAAGATCATGCCTTCAAAAATGCTTGTGGAGAAATACCCCAGGCTGGAGGAGAGAGGCCACCCACACTCTTTGTCTGTGGAGAAATATACCCCAGGCTGGAGGAGAGAGGCTGTCCACACCCTTTGTCTGGTCTGGAGTGGGGTTAGAAGTCAGCACTTGTCACTCACAGCATCTAGTGTGCAGTTTCCACACAGCTTTGCGGAGACCACAGAAGCGGGGCAGGGAGCACAGGTCTCATTAGTCATCTCTGAAGTCAGAGTTGGAGTGGACATTCTTGAAGATTAGCCTAGTTGACCAAAGATGCACAGCCATTGGGGACTCTAACCTACTTTTTCCTGCTGTCCACTAGGCAACAGTTGCATCAGACATAATATCCTATCTGGCCAATCCTTCCATTGCAGAAGTGGGGGTGAGGCCTGTTGAGACAGGTCGGGCATAACAGTGCTTGCTACCCAGCCTGACCACCTGAGTTCAACCCCTGGGGCCCATGTAAAAGGTGGATGGAAAAAAAAATCAGCTACACTAAGTCATCTCTGACTTTTACACGTGTGTTGTGGGCATGCATCTCATCTGTACATACATGCGTGAGATTTAAACAGTCGCACCTTCCAATAAAGCTGGCCTGACAGTGTGGAGACCTCTGAAGCTGGATCAGGCTTGCTGAGAAAGTGCCTTCATGTTTCTCTTTTTCAGAGATTCACAGCCTCAGCTAGAAGCCATGGACAGTGTGTATGAGCTCTCCTCCACAGAAAGGGTACAGCAGTTAGAGAAAGACCTGGCGGGGAAGTTAGGCGAACTGAAGGATGAGCTGGAAGAACAGGGGGCCCTTCCACGAACAACTAACTGGACCTTCAGGTAAATTTGCAGTATCAAGGTGGGACCTTCTGGGACCTAACCTCCCGTTCTTGTCCTACATGCTCAGTCTGCCCGCTCTTTGTCAAGAACAGTTGGCATCACGTCAAGCTCAGACAAATGGCACACAACAGCAGTTTCTGTTATTCTTTTGTTTAAAAAGAAGAAAAGAGAAATGCTGCGACAGACATAAGACTATAAGTTTATTATAAGGCAGAATGGGTAGACCAAGAAGAGGAACAGGGCAATGGCTGACCGCCATGGCCGGTCGCCATAGAGAGACAGAGCGGGGAAACAGAGAGAGGGGACAGAGAGCAGGAACAGGGGGAGAGAGAGAGAGAGAGGGCAGGGGCCTATCTTTTAAAGGGGTCCTCTGCACCTGCGTACAGACCTCCCTCCCATGGAACCTTGGGCTGACCAGGGTATTGCCTGAGTGGATTCCACCAGATAACAGGGGCAGGCCAGCATAATGCCTAAACCTTTCAGTTTCCAATGCCTTTTCCTCCTTGCTAGTACTAACGGGGCCCAGCCTTGCTTAGATGCTGGGATTGTAGGGGATCTGGGTGCTCAGCGTGGTGTGGCCATAGGGCACGTGTCCTTTTCCAATCTGCCTTTAATGTTCCCACAACAGTTAAGGTCGATTGAAGCAAACCTTATCTAACAAAGTGGGAAAATATTGTGCTATTTTCCTAAGTCCCAGGAGCTACTATAGAAGTCAAAAGTTTCATTTTGCCTAATAACATTGAATTTGACCTTAAAAATTTTGATAAAAATTTCTTTTTTGTTGTTGTTTTGTTTTGTTTTTCGAGACAGGGTTTCTCTGTATTGTTTTGGAGGCTGTCCTGGAACTCACTCTGGAGACCAGGCTGGCCTCGAACTCACAGAGATCCTCCTGCCTTTGCCTCCTAAGTGCTGGAATTAAAGGCGAGACAAAGCCCTGAAAAGCCGAACATTAGAGATTTGGTGGTGGGAGCTGGGAAACGCTAAGGCTGTTCCATCGGGAGCCCTGTTGTGAGCGGTGCCTGCTGATGAAGGCCATCAAGTTGCTTCAGAAGAGAGGGTCACTGAGTCTTTTAGCCCAGGAACATAACATTATTTATGTTAACACAAGAAATCCGTTGGTTTGAGGAAGTGGGGTGTGGATGGCCAGCCGGATGGGGAGGAGATCGGCGTGGGGGTAGAGGGGGCGCATTTCTACTTCATTCCAAAGCTGCCTTTTAAGAACTGCTTCTTCAAGTGGGCGGAGGTGGCGCACTCTCCGAGTTTCCCTTGGTGTCTGAGGTAGGTCAAGGAAGAAGCAGGGAGGCAAACAATCACAGGGCCAGGCCCGCCATCCTTGCTCTTAGTCTTTCATTTGCATCTCCTACCTCACAAAGTTATGAGGCTCACATGGCAGTGTATACTATTTTGAAGACTATGCAATTCCAGAGATGAAGTGTTGATATTGCACCTTTTCCACCAGACAAGTGATTCCTGGCTGTGCCATGTAACAGGAAGGTTTCTAAACAGACTTTGGGAGAAGGGTGACAAAAATCCTGGATACCTATACTTCCTAATCACCCCAAACCACCCTACACCGTAGCTGCCTGGAAGCATCTAAATTCTAAAAGATGTGTGTTTGCTGTTTTCTAGGTATAGTTCTAGCTCTAAGGAAAATGAAAATAAATATCCATTCCTGATAATCACATTATTACTTAGCTGAAAATCATCTTTCTTTTCCTTAATCTTTCTTTTTAATCTCTATGTGTTGTTTGTGAGTGTGTGTGAGTGCAGGCTGGAAGTCAGAGGACGGCCTCCAGTGTCAGTCCTCAAGGTCTACCTTGTTGAGACAGTGTCCTAGCTGCTACTATGTATGCCCAGCTAGCTGTTCCTGCTGGCTGCCGGGAATTCTCCCCACCCGTATCCCATCTCAGCACAGGAGCTCTGGGATGCAGACAGATGCCACTGAGTATCTGGGGGATCAGCACAGGTCCTCACATACGCACAGCAGGAACTTAGTCTCCATCACCATCTCCCCAGGCCTCCTCCTTCTCCTCCTCTTCTTTATATTTTCTTTTTTATTTTATATCCTTTTCCTCGTTTAATACCCTAAGCCCTGGACCTTGCCATAGTTATGTGTTTCATGATGCTCACTGAATAAACGAACAGTGTATGTCACACCAGTTGCTGAATTAATGAACTTCTCTTTGTGGGTTGGTCACCTATGCTCAGTGGCCTCTACAACCAGTCTTTCTTTGGACCGCCATCAGTCATCTCCCAAATGACGACATGGGAACTTTTTATTAATTATGAAAGCTTGACCTTAGTTTAGGCTTTTTCCCAACTACCTCTTAAAACTTAAATTAATCTGTTTATATTAATCTACACTCTTCCATGTAGCTGGTTACCTCTCCTCAGTACTGTACTACTTCCTCTGCATCTGGGTGGCAAGTCTCTCATACCTCCAATTCTTTCCCAGAGTTCCTGTCTCTCCCTGGAAGTCCAGCCTAGTCTATCCTGCCTAGTTATTGGCAGTTCAGCTCTTTATTGAATCAATCAAAGGTGCCTTAGGCAGGCAAGGAAGGACAGAGATACAACTTCATAGTGTGCAAAAAGATTATCCCAACAGGCCTCTTTTAGGTACTTTGAGGTACTGAGAGGAATGACATAACTTGAGACAGAGTTGGGCAGCCAAACCCCTGACTGCCTAGGCTCCCAGCATGCCAAGGATGGGAGACAGAAATACAAGGGAAGCCTTCTGTAACTGCCCGTCAACAGCTGAGCACTTTCAGTGGCTCACAGCTTCTCCAGCTCCATGAAGCACCAGACTGTGACTGATGGCAGCTTTCACTCTCAAGATCTTGTCAAAGTCTCTCTCTCTCTCTCTCTCTCTCTCTCTCTCTCTCTCTCTCTTTTCTCCCTCCCTCCCTCCATCCCTTTCTCCTTCCCACCTTCATCAAAGTCAAATTATAGGGAAAGAGGTAAGAGATGGAACATCTCCAGCTTCAAAATCCTGACACCAAGTGTCCAGGTAGGTACTTAGGTGTCTGTGGCCCAGAGTCTTGTCCACTTGGGCTACTATTGTCCAGTGACCATGCTAATCTTTTCTGTGTCCTTTCCATTTTATTATTTGTGCTGTCAAAGTGAGACCATGTGTTTTCTTTTCTTTGCCTCTGTTCTCTTCCCTTGGTAATGGAGATTGAACCCAGGGCCTTGCCCATGCAAGACAAGTGCTCTAACCACTGAGCGAAATCCCTAGTCTCCTAATATATCTAACAGGACTACTCTTCCACAAGGGAACACACTAACAGTGTATATTACAACATTATCTGAAGACTCTTGGGGCCTAGTGAACTGTATCAACCTAAGTTTACGGCCCACACTCATCCCTCCAGCTCCCTCAGGTGTGTCCTTGAACTATGTTCTGTGGCTCATTTGCCAGCAGCAGCAAAATCTGATCTTGCAAATGAGGGATCTGTTTTGGGATGCTGTCCTCAGATATGCCTAGAGCTGTATGTATTCCTTGCACTGTCTATTGAACTCCACCGGAGAGCTCTTCCGGCCCCAGGCCCCACCCCTTACTGGGGTCCCAAGCTCCACCCCTTACTGGGGTCCCTTAGCTTGTTGTCAAGCTGAGCAAAGGACTCCTGGTGCCTGAACATCTCCTCTCCCATGACTGCTACATGTTTCCTAGGGACCAGCCGTGTTCCTGAGGCAGAAAGCTTGGTTAAAAACATTTCTGAAGCCAGGCATTGGTGGCACACGCCTTTAATCCCAGCACTCGGGAGACAGAGGCAGGTGGATCTCTGTGAGTTCGAGGCCAGCCTGGTCTCCAGAGCGAGTGCCAGGATAGGCTCCAAAGCTACACAGAGAAACCCTGTCTCGAACGCCCCCCCCAAAAAAAAAACCTGAAATATTTCCCATTTGATATTTGTGGTTTGTTTCTACCCTCTGATAGCAGGAACATGGGAATATGAAAAACAAAATGTTTCAGTGACAAGGTACCAGTTTTCTGTGTCAACTAAGGAGAAACAGCAAGGTTTGATAGACACACTTACTTGTCACACAGGAGATTTCTGAAGGGAATACAAGCCCTCTCGAACCCCACCCCCTACCCCCACTCCCATGCCCTCTGGAGCAGGAAACTGGGATAAACCAAAGGCAGAAGGAAGACTCTGTGAGGAGAAAAAAACTGGCCAGGGGAAGGGTTAGCAGAGATCAGGTATTTCAGAAAAGGTTCTGACCAAGATAGAATGTGGCCTTTATACATCCCCAATGGGCCCGGATTGACTACTCACTCTGAAATGAGCGGCTGGAAAGGGTCACAGAGCCACCAGGTCGGCCATCATCTTCTTTATCACAGCTCTCCATAACCGCGGTTTCTGTGGTTCAAACCTTCCTGCAGCTCTGTTCAAATACCAAAGGATGTCGCTCACTTCAGACGCGAACGGGAAGTGGCTCTGAAGAGAACCCTCGGGGTGAGTAGGAACGTGAATGGCTTCAGGACAACACATTCCATTTCATCAATTAGGGAACTATTTGCAAGGAAAGTTTATTTTTTGCAAACGGCTAATGATATTGAACAAAAGAGCCTTCTCAGTGCTAGAAAAGTGCAAGTCATTGTATCCTCAGGGAGATCTGATTTTGTGACTTTTGAAATTTGATAGATTGATGATGTTTGAAACTCGTTGTTTAGGTGGCGGAGTGCAAGCCCCTTGTTATTCAGGCAGATGTCCTGCAGAGGGAGCTAGAGAGCTGCCTAAGAAGAGAGTACACGCCGGAAAATCTTCCTCTGCTTCTGCTGCAGGTAAGGGTCGTCTTCCAATCTGTAAAAAAACTCGTGGTACGTTCTGGAAATGTGTCAGCAAGCTGGCTTTTCGGCAGATACTGTGAGCAGCTGTTCTGGACATGAGTAATTTGCAGATGTAGTGTAAATGCTTCCTTTATGGGAGACCATTTCGTTTGCACAGCTAAGTTGCTGGGCTGAGCAACTGTCTGGGTCTGACTAAATACTGTCTGTGCGGATGTTATACCCTGCAAAGACAAAGCCAGCCTCCACCTCCCGGAGGTCTGGAGGACATTCCCCAAAACCTCTCTTAAGAAAATAACTCAAAGTAGGAAAATAGTTTCCCATCAAGATTG